ATTCAATAACAGCTGCTTTATTCTTTTACAATAACTAAATAGGATCACACTTACTTATAATAAAGGTCACCATAGAAAATTAGCCCTTTACTAATAGTTTTTACCTTACTTTTTTCTTAAATTCTATTGGTTAATTAGCTAAAAAGAAGAAAAATCATAACAATGTAACATAAAATTTCCTTTTATAGTAGTATTTGCAAAGAATTTTATATATGATTTTTATCTTAGGCTTGGGAGTGATCTATCTTATAAGTAAACAGGATCCTAATCAAACCCATCTAATTTTAATAATTATTAATGGTTATAAAACCTTTAAAGTTATTATTATAGAAGATCATAAATGCAGCTTATTATTTACCTTAAAATAAAAATAGAAAAATCTTAATAATCTTATAAAATGAAATTTTAAGATTGATAACAAAAAACTAAAAAATTAGATTAATGCTGTCATGTTTTTTTTTGTTTTATCAGAAAATTTAAGGATAAATCAAATATACATGCCACCTAAATTATTTTGGACTGCCGTAATTATAAGTAATATCCCAAATTCAATTATGGCATCCCAAATTATTTTGGCACTTTACATAGTAAATTATATATAAACCGAATGAATTATGGCATTCCAAATTATAATTATGACATCCCAAAATAATTTGGGCAGCATGTATAAAATCAAAGAATCAAAGAATCAAAATAAATTTAAAGGCTTTTCTAATTTCAAAAAAAAGAATTCCAACTCTAAGGATAAAACTATAGGTATTAATAGAATTTTCTAAATGTTTGAACATGGCAATTTTGAAAACTAATTAAGAAAGATAAGGGCAGTGACATTTATTACGTAATATTTTAGGGGGTGGGAGGGTATTTAAAGGTCATATAACATATAAGTATAACATAAGATTTTTCATATTACATGGGGGTGGAGAGTATGGGCTTATAGTAAATGGATATTACGTAATAAATATCACTGCCCTAACTCAAGTGGTTTTTTTTTTAGAACCATAAGTCTAAATTTAAAAGGGATGACAAAAAAGAAGAATTTTTAAATTTCCAAATGAAAATTTAAAAAAAAATCCTAAGATAACTACCGTATATAGCGGGCTACAATACCCCAAGTATTTTGCAAAAATCGGGGGTTTGACCCTATACCTCCAGGTACTAAACAAAGCCTAAAATTCTGTTTTTTGCGAATATCTCACGATCTACCAGTCCAATTTAAATGATCTTTTTTTTTATTTTGAAGAGCTCAATGAGAGCTATTAAACAAAAAAAAAGATGGCTCAAATCTGATCACTAGATCACGAGATAATTGTAAAATATCCCCCTGGGTACTATACAATTCTATGAAATTTTTCAAGGGGGGTACTATGCATAGGGGGGTACTATGACCCGTGATATATGGTAATAGACAGAATTGGATAATCTAAAAGACTGGATAATTAATTTATTGAAAAGTTAGTTGCAAATCATTTAAAGAGATTCACTATAATTTTAATTTTTATTTTTATAGATAAAAATTTGTTTCTTTCAGAAATTTTACTTAATTTGTTTAATTAGTAATAGTATTAGGTTTTACTAAAGTTGTTTGCTTTTATTTACTACTAATTACCTTTTCTTTTTTTAGCCTATTTTTTTTATTTATAGGTATATTTGTATTTAAATAAAATGATTCACTTCCTTTAAGAATAATTTGAAAAAAAAAGAAAAAAAAAAAAGTATTGGTTTTCTTTTCCAATATAATTATTCCAATATTTTTCATTCTCTAAAAAAATTACTATTGTATTATTTATAATATTCTAGTATTTGAATATATTATTTAGAATCCTTTTTAATCTGTAATCTAATATTAATATATATTTTAATGTACTTCATCAAAAGTAATATATCAGTATTTCTTAATTATAAACTTATTTTTTAAATGTTTTATTGTGAAATATATAAGTTTATTATATGAATAACAGATAACTATTTTACATTTTAAAATATATTTTTGCTTATTAATAAAATATGGCAAATTTTGTGAATGTAAAAATAATCTTTTCTACTATATATATAGTATTTTTTATTTTAAAAATATATTAGGCAATCCCAAATTTTATTTTTTCATTTAATTAGAATTTTATTATTTTTAATAATCTGCCAATATATTTGATATACTTTTTATTAGTATTTTTAAAATCACTTAGTAAAGATTTAGATATATATGTTATATTAATATATTTAAATATAGTGATTTATTAATTTATAGCTAATTAATAATATTATACTTGTGCTAAAAATCATTTATGGTTTGCAAGATTTACTAGTATAAAAACATAGTGTCTATATATGGTATGCAATTAAAAATTGTTGTATTCAAATAATTGAAAATATGAAAAAGTTTGCATGATAGTGTAAAAAAAGCCAGACTTTAATAAAAGATATTCTTAAGAGAATTTGATGTTAAAGGTATAGTATATTAGATAGAAAATATGTTATAAATAAACCAAAAGATTATTCTAGTACAAGGACATATTACAATAAAACAAGAATATGTTCCAATTTAAAGACATAATATACAATACCAAAAATGTAGATAATGATAATTTAATGTTAATATAGCAAATAATATTGCACAAGAAAAAGGTAATAAGTGCCTTTTTACAGAATATATTAATACAGATACTCTGATTTTCTGGAAATATGCAATAATTTACAACTTTTTATCAAATAAGAAATATGGGAAGATGGTACTTATAATGTACTGGTAATTTTTTCTATGATCTTTTAGAAGCTAAAAAAATCACTTATAGTAAAGAAGGTATGTGTCTTTCTAGTTCCTACAGAATATATAAATCTCTGTATTCTGATGCAATGGATGTCATAAATGGTTTTCAAGTTTTAATTATATAAAGCACTCTAAGATATGATAACCCATATTGCTTAAATAAACATGCCATAAAGTTATAACTAACATTCTTAACCCACCTTCCAGCATCTACTGGCCAGATTTCTTGAAAATAACTGATCCTCAAGGACTAGAACTCAATATCTACTATTCACAGTATGGATTTGCTATAAAGTACAAGGTAAACAGCATGAGCAACATATAAAATATTTTCACAAAAATGAGAAAGACTTTGAGAAGCAGTTAATGCATAATCAGCCCAAAAAAAAACTTTGTGAAAGAATTCAATTACTTTAAGATATGTCTGGTATCTATACATAGTTATTCCAAGTCATCTTTGAGAGTTGGGCCTTATTGAATGAATTCAAAACTTTAGTTTATTTATAACCATTATACATGCGTATTATATATTTTTTTGTATGTTTACATTCTGATATAATAAATATCATTGTTAAACCTTCATGCCATCCATTTAGATATTAAAAATATAAATTATAGAACAGTGAAAAATTTTGCGTTTTTTTATTTAAAAGCTAGGAATTTGTAAAGACAGAAAATTTTGAAAATACATATAACAAATAGAACTGAACTTTCGGAATTGGCACACTTCCAGTGAGCAAGTAACGACATTGTCAGTGTATATGAGGACATGAGAGCAAGACGCTATGTCATACCCACTTTGCCACGCATAACACCAAGAGATTTTTCTGCAGAGACAGAATTTAGTCTTGCTGATGTGATCCGGTTGTCATTAGCGAGTCCTCCACTATTTTAAAAAAAAGGTTTGGCCATTTGGAATTGTTTTGAAGCAGTAGGTTAGTATGCCATCATACAAATCCAACGCTAAACACCCTCCTATGAGATGGACTATAAACAATAGACCATATGTCATATCTGGATGAGACAATCACACAGTTATAGTTCATAAAAATAATGCGCCCTAAAAACTTTATCTATTGAATGAAAACTTTGCAAAAGTTAAAATAGGGAACCATATTCTAATGTTCGTGACTTTTTGAAGTGGGTGTTCCAGTAATTTTTCCAAAACAGCACCCAATCTCAACATTGGAATGTTCTTCTCGATCTTTTCCTTTTCGCTTTCTTCTATGTGATCGAGCATGGGACAAAGCGATATCATTTGCTTTGTTGCATATAGAGTGGAGGGTATCCTATTGTATAATCGCGTTAAATAATTTCATCATAAAGCAGTAACATAACGAACCAAAAATTACCTATTTTTCATTTCAATATAAAACTTTTCTAACATGCAAGCGTTCTTATAGAATTGGGCAATGCTGTCGTACACAACTTTCCACACCTACAAATGTTTGTCCCTTTGCAATCCATAGCAAAGACCTGATGTGACCAGCCTTTGAAACAAAATAAGTAAATGAGTAATTATTATAAATGAGGATTGGTTGTGTCAATTATCTGCTTACCCTACGCACCGTAGAATTCCTAATTTCGGCCAGAATTTTATTTAGTAACAATTGACTGATCGATTGCTCATTAGAAAGAAACGAGAGATGATTAAAGTGTGTGAACTAGTTGCTAGCTTAGAATCAAGCCATCGAAGACAATTTAACAACCCAACACATTTAGAAGCCGTCTTTCGATTCCAGTAGTTTAAAATTTCTGCTATCTAAAGACATGCCATTTTAACGTGTAATTTAGATTAGAAACTTTGGAACTGAAAAAGTAATCGCGTAACTAGATGCCTAGGTTGTAAATTGTAATAACTGATTATCAGTATGATCAGTGTATAAGGCCGGGCAAAATTAATTGTGTTTTACAAAAATTCAGGATAGTAAAATTTTATCACGTGACTCAATATAATAATTATTATACAAAAATTCAATAAACGTGTTACATATTAATTTTGCTTGAAATTTCATGCTTCTTTTGTATAATACTCACAATAGTGGTAATATATTTCATTTACATTAATTCTTTCAGATTCATCAAATCCATTTTCTGGTACTTTTCCACACTGAAGCAAATGTCTTCAAATAAACCACTCGAATAATAGTAAACTTCTATTGGATTACTAATGTTGTGATTTATTTAAATAATTTTATTATTTCATTTACATTTTATCATTATTAAAAACAAATATTATTATTAAAAAATTAAATAGTTAACGATTTCATTTTTAGTTATTATACATATTCTATTATTACCCACTAATTTATAATTTCGGGAACGCATTTCAAGTAGTAATGTTCGTTTACCCAATAATATGTTATCTTGTTTGAATCAAGAGAATCGAAATCTATAATCAAAATTAAAATTAGGATTAGGATACATTTGAATTACCATTAGATGTGAATCAACTTAAATATATTTAAGATTAAACTTACCGCATTCCTTAAATTCGGCTGGCTTCGAAAATAAAGTAACTTTTGGAGGTTGGATAAATGATTTTCTTCTGATGCCTTTACGATCCAATAATTCTTCCAAAACATCTTGGATTTCACAACGTGACATAACTAGTGAAAGTTTCCGATAAATGTCAGCCTAATTAATTAAAGTAAATTTTTAATAAATAAATTGAATAAATGTATTGAATTTAAATAAGCATTACAAAATATGGATGATACCTCGCATATTCCAGGATTTTGCAAGATTAACCCCAATACAGCTTCAAGACAACCTCGGAACACCGATTCAATAAAATTTCCATTGATGTCATACCACATTCTGGGGGGCGCAAATGTTTCAACCGACTCAGTCTTTGATTCATCTGATAGCTCTACATTGTGACTAGAAGACTTTTCTTCTATGTTAACTTTTTCTGTTCGCTGTTTTTTAAATTTGTTTGCAGTTGTTTGGGTCGTATTAACAAACCAATCCTTCGAATAAATGCTAGAGACATATCGACTAGCATTATATCCAACTTTTATTATTAAACTTGGATGATTAGTCTCCAAAATATTTATGCAACGTAATAAATTTTCTTCCGATAATTTCGGATATTTCTAAAATGGTCAACGCAACAATCATATGAATACTTGAATAATATATGAAAGATTACATCCGCTAATAAAATTATTTATTACCTTTAATGAAACGAGAGGTATACCAACTTTATCGCGATTCTCGATTATATAATAAACGTCCTTAACGTCACGTTTAAATTCTTGATCTAAACTTTCTAGTAGTAATTTGAGTACTTTAGAAGCCTCTTTTCTTGTGTTCAAAAATTGCTTACTGTCAAAATGTCCTTTTTTGAAAGCTGAGGTATTTTTTTCTTGTACTGTGTTATTTTCGCATTTTCCTTTATCGTTAGAAATGTTGTTTTCTTCAGTTATATAATGCTCTCCACGTTTTCTCTTATGATTAAAGACACTATTTATATCATCTGATCGTTTTCTTTTTTGACCATAAATGCTATTATTTTTGCTAGATTCACTGTCATCAATTTCGGTATTTGTAATTGAGCTGCTAATATTTGGCGTCAACGAAACATCAAAGTTGAGATTTGCAACATCTTAAAAGGTTAAAAATTAAGTAATAAGTATTTTAAAACAAGTTATTGATAAAATCAAATATAATTAATTATAGTATCACTAACCAATTTTCCTACTACGATGACTTGGCACAATATTCTTAGTAAGAATAGGTGCGTCTGGATTAGCAAATGATAACGCAACCTAGTAAGGATAACAGGGATATACAGTATTATTAATCGAACTTTAAAATGCTTGATATAATAAACACTTAATATTGAGTCATTTGTTACTTTTCCGGCGGATAATAAATCCAATATACAAGCCATATCTCCACTATTCGCAAATTGGTCAAATATCATGATTTCTTTGAATTTTTTGTAAAAGTTAACAGCTTGTGAGAACATCCTATCTGGCAATTTTCCCGAAATAACTGATAGAAATCTAATAATTTTGAATACAATCAAATATAAATTATAATAATAATACAAATATTCGATTAAATGATATATACTTGTCAGAAACATGAAAACCTCTTCCAGGAATCCTCCTATCGCTCCCTCCTTTAACTTTAACTATGGCACCTGTTTCTTTAACTAGATCAATTGCTTCTTTAACATAAGGTTCATAACGATTGAGAACGGCAAACGCATGAGTAGGATCGTATTGATCTTCTGGTGTCATGAGAATCATCTATTATTGTATAAAAAAAAAATTAAATACGTATAAAAGAATGTTGGAAAGAAAATAATAACGCAAACCTTGATCAATGCTTGAATACATTCAAGTTTAATTTGTTTTTCATTGTTTATCTCCTTTAACACATAATCGATATTGTTGTATGGAATCCTGTATGTAAGCGAATGTGCGTATAACTTTTTCATTTTTTGTCGTAATGAACATCCACCAAGTTTATCTTCAAAGTACAAGTCACGATTATGCCTATTTGGTGACGAATATGTTACAACAAAATGCTCTTGCAATGTTTTAACATCTTTGGGAAGAGGAATTATGGGCTTGGGGCGTGTAACACTATTTTTTTTCAATAAAGGAAATTATAATTGTACGTTATTTGCTTTGTTCAAATGAATGAAATTGATGAAGCAAAAAATTAACATTTACTTAGGCCTTTCTTTAACAATTTTTTTAAAGTATTCCATTTGATTAATTATATCAAAGTCTTTCATTTGTTTTTCTTCCTCTTCATTTAGGTCCCCTTTCTTTATTGCTTCATTATAGATGTCTTTCCAAAACAATAAATAATTAGAAACTCGTGCTTGAAAGGCCGAATTTTTCATCAAAACATTAAATCTACGCCGACACATTTCTCTGGTTTTATGTGGCAAAACTTTAGTAACAGGACTCCAAAAGAACCTATATTTAGCTGAACGATGTTTAATAATAATATAAGCATAAAAAAGCAATTCATCTTCCTCTTTATTCCAGACTGGACGTTGTCTCTGAGAGTATTGTTCATATTGAGTCTCAAATCGTTCTAATAGTCATTAACGAATTACATTAAAAGAAAAAAAAAATTATTAAAATTATTAATCCAAAAAAAAAAAAAAAAATCCATTATACCTTCGTCATTAATAATTGGCAAGTTCTCTTCCTCAGCGATACCATGAAGTTCTTCTAATTCTTTTTGTTTAAGTTTTTCACGGTTACTTTTACGGCCAGAATTATTATTGAGGTTCACTTCAGTTTCGTTCTGTGTTTTTCTTAACACTTTATGAACCATATTTTCTCTCTTCTTTCTTTTGAAATAAGGTTCTCCTTTAGCTGATGAAACAATTCCGGCAAAGTTTTTTGATCGTTCAGCAACTTTACCTCTTCTTTCTTTCTGCTTGGCTACATTATTCTCTTTATTTTTCATTTCAAAACTATCTTCAATTTTCTTATAATACGCACGAACTTTTTGAAACGGAAGACCAATTTCCTGGGCAATTTGTCTACATTTGTTCTCATCTTCATATGGCGTCTGTAATTTTCTTCGATCAACATAAAGTTCGAGCTGCTTCTTCTGCTTAGAATTAAGCGGAAAACCAGAGTTCCAATTGCGTGCAATAGTTATAAATCGTAGAGGATCATCTTCGACACAAGAGGCTTTGCCTTTCTTTCTACGTTTGGACATATCGTCATCTTCACTGTCTACTTGACAATCTGAATCTGAATTAGCATTATCATCTTCACTCTTATATGTTGACTCGGAAAATTTTTTTTGAGCTACATATTGTAAGTCACTCCAATAGACCGAAACATTTTCAATAGTATCAAGCATGTATTCTCCAATATTAGGTCTATCAGGTCCAGGGAACGAAAAATCCACCATTTGAACATTACGCATAAGTTGATATGCAGGTGCTAAAAGATTTTGAGGTAAACTATAGTTTCTCGTCGAAATGTCTTCAACGCCATCATCTGGCACAAACGCCTTTTTCATATTTAAAACCGGATTTCCTCTTCCATCAAAAACGCGTTTAAGTTTTTTAATTAACTTTAAAGCCACAAGAATGTCAATTAACTTTTTAAGATTTTGTCTGAATTTATAATTTCCAGTAAAAATCTCCAACCTAAGATCACTTGGGAGGTTAATTACGCTAAGTGACATGTTTTGTCCAGATCTTATATAATCGGTTAATTTTGCACTTGGAGTAAATTGCCCAACAAGCTTAAGATATAAATCTAGAGGAAGATCTCTGAGAAGAATTGCTGTCTGAAAAATTCTTTCTTCTTTCATGATGCAAGGATCAGATGGACCTGCATCATTAATTTTGTTGAAAAAATATTGATGCAAGATTTTTGCTCTAATCATCTTAGCATTAATCCAACCATACTCACGAGCACAATGTAACCAACACATGTCATTAGGTACTTTTTCGCTAGCATTAGATTGACTGATTTGACTCTCATTATTTAGATCAGATGACATAAGATTATCGGCTAGAAGATTTACAGAATTATTGGCTGCTGCTTCAGCGGCCATACGTTTCTGTAATTCTGAAAGAGGCTCTAATTCAACGACTAACTCTTCAATTTTAGCTGCCTTATAAGATCTACCAACTAGTAAAGCTTTATCTTGTAGTTTAGTAACATATTCTTTTACTTCAGGACTTTCAGGCGATAATTTAGGACTAAGGAACAAAAGTTTATTTTGATCTTTACCATTTAATGACGGTAATATTATATTATATTGCCTTAATAATCCCTTTCTTTCCATAACACTTCCAGTACGAGCCAAAGTCTTTTTGTCAATGGTGTGTGAAGTGGTGTGTGAAGTCATACCATTATAATATTCTCTAATTTTATCTTGATATGCATTAATAAGCGTTGCACCACATTCTAACACTTTATGCTCTTTCAAAAGATTTTCTATAATTTTTTCTCGTAATGATGCAGTAATTGAAATTACAGGGGGAATCTTCTTTTTTGTTTTATATACTTTCTTAACATTATGTAAATTTTTTTCATTTGAAATCTCAAGAATTTTTGAAACTGAGGCATCATCTGGTTGTAAGTCAGCATCTATCTCTTGGCTATTATCATTAAATGATTCAACAACACTTCCAATATTTAATTCTGTGGTTTGTTGATATTGAGATGTCGCCATAATTAGATTATTATCATCCAAAATATTATCTTTTTCAGGATCAATGTCAATAATCATGCCAGCATCTGTCTCATGATCAGGCAAATTCAAATTACCATTAGATTGTGTAATCGAATCATAAGCATTTGGAATAATAGGATTGTCAATCTGCATTACTGTATTATTCTCTTCATCATGCAAATTAACAATTCCTGTAGAAGATTCTTCATTAGGTTCATGAATATCCATATTTACTTTAACATGTGTTATAATTTTATCATCAACTTTTTTGCGCTTAGTATACGTTTTTTTAGGCTTTGGTTTAACTACCATTGTAGTATTTGATTGTTCATGTGCTGAGTTTGAATTATCAACTTTTGCAATCTTCTTGCTAGGTTTATTATTTCCCGTCATATTATCAGTCTTTCGTGGACGACCACGCTTCTTCTTACTATCAGTTATTTCACTTGAGTTTTCCTCTACTATTTTTGGAATCTCATTTTTATTAATGAGTTCTCCTTCAGAATCATACTTTCTGGGTCGTCCTCTTTTCTTTGGCACAGTTGTAATCATTTTAGGTGGTTCAATAATTCCCCTCTCTTTATTCTTTTTCTTTCTACGTCTCTCTCTAGTACTTATACTAGGTAAGAAATCATCATTCTTCTCTTCTTCGCCATCTTGCAATAATTCAACTCCCCATTGAGGATCATGTATATATTCAGAATCACGATCCTCATCAGAGTTAATTTGATTTATATCCTCCAAATTTAAACCATGTGCTACAGCGAATTTCATATAACCTTCACGAGAAAAATAACGATAATGTCTTTCTCGTCCTTTACACTCAACAGCACGCTTTATAATAAAACGGTTTAAACCAGGAGGTAAATCAATAACAAGCCCGGTTAATGACTTGTTTAGGACACGGTCATTTATGTTACGAAACATACATTGAAGTTCCTTATATCAAAATAATAAACTAAATGAGAAATTTCTTTAATTATGATTTAATATAATAACATTAATTTTAGAAGACATACTCCTGCAGTTATTCCTTGTTCGCCAGCCATGTGGATTAAACGATACACTTGACAATCTAAAGGTAAATCTACAAAAACGCCAGATTGTAATGGCTTTTCATTTGATTCTAAGTGTGGTATCGCAGATTCTGGCGTATCTACGGTAGATGATTTGTTCTTACGCTTATCTGTTAGAAATATCAAATAAAATAAGAAAATGAAAAGCATTACAGTCAAACTGCGATATAACGATATGTTGAGATTCATATGAAAATCTTTTATTCTCCCGTATAGTAGAAAAGTAAAATATTATCGTTATATCGAGTATTAATGTATATCGGTATATACGAATATCAGAATATCAAGATCTGACTGTATTAATAAATTCTCTTTACCATTATTGTTGTTGTTGCCTCTCACGTATTTCTTAGCAAGCCTAAAACATCGTTCCATTGGTCCTTCCATAGATTTTTTCGGAACATTCACTTTTTCGATATACCCATTTTGTGTCAATTCATCAATTCTGTTATTAAACCAACGTCGTTGGTTCTTTGTCGGATTTGATATTGCAAACTAAATATAAAAGAGAAATGATGAAAAAAAAAATATTTTAAATTTGTCTTATAACCATAATAATTTTTTAGGATATGTATATAACTTACTAAGGCCATCCTCATATCATTTGCAGACATAACCTGATTCTTGGCTTGATCAAGAATCTCTGTTAATCTTATTTTTACTAATTCAGAATTGAATGAAACATTATCACCAATTTTATCTGCTGAATCATGGTCATCACTTAATTGTGATACTTGGATTTTGCTCGTTGGTATATATACAGATTTTCCAGAATATGCTTTATTTTGAGCCGCGCATCCAGACAAGATGCACAAATTTGTCTGTATCCCATTTTGAGTAACTTTTAATTTTACTCTAAAAACAAAATAATTCTTATTAACAATTAATAAATGTAATATTAATATAAATAAATTAATTAACTTACATTAATTTAAGATTACAAAGTGTTTTTAAGTAATGGGAAAAAGATTTTGGTTCGATATTAAAGTGTCTTGCCATATCTACTTGAGTAGCACCTAAAGAACGATGTTTTGCTATATGCTGCAATATCCTCCAAACTTGATTTGAAAGTGGCCGAGATATCTAAATTAATTATATATTTTATTTAGCTCAGAACCAAAAATTAAGAGTTGATCATAAATACTTACATCAACTATTCCAAACAGAATTTTTTTTTGAAATTTTTCAGTTGTCATTATCCGAAATCTGTCACCATAATTCGTTCTAATTTCTTCAAGAGACATATTGTCGATTTGGACAGTCTGATAATTTTTTTCGTCAGTCTATTTTATTTATATAAATAAGACAAAAGTTTTATATAGCGAAATAATAAAATAGTAGAATTACTGAACAAAGAGAAATTTACTGTTTTAAATGATGCGGCCGTATTTTTCTTGCCTTTTATTGAAGACTTTTGAATTTGTTCCGAAGTAACTTCCTTCAGTATACAAAATGATAAATTATCACTAGTTGAGAATTGTGACCAAAAGAATTCTTTATATGTTTCGTCAATTGTTGGTTTCATTATTTCTGGTTCGTCGAATGTTACGAATTCTTTGCATCGTTTATTAAGAAATTCTTGTACGAATACCCATAAACGATCAATTCCACAACCTTTTTTCGGTCGAGAAATTTAAAGGGATAAACACGAAATATTTATTATTACGTACTGTATAATAATTTTAACGAATATATACGAATTAACAAAGATATAAGAAAAATAATCAAAGAATACAAATACGAACCTTCTGCTCCTTCCATTGCAATTTCCTCTAAGCAGTATACGATAGTTTCATCAATCATTTTTTAAAAAAATGTCTATTAAAAAATAAATTAAAACGAACTATGTGAAGTAAACACGTCAAAACTCAAAATTTTATTTGTTTCAATCGCGTCTAAAGAGTATATGATTTTAAATTAAACTTACTTATATAAAATTAATAAGGATTGAATAAGTTTAATAATCGAAAAGGAACACAAAATATATATATATATATAATATAATATGAATGTTAAAGAAACATTCGTTAAGAAAAAAATACTTTTCGAACTAAAAAATTTTCAGTTCATTTTAAAAAAAAAAAAAAAATTCAATTTTAATCCCGGCAAAATTTCTCGGCCAGAATTAAATCACGTGTTATTAATCACTTTTAGTCACTGATACTCATACTCTATCACAATGACTAAGGATGTTGCATATTCATCCACCTAACTTGTTCAACTTCAACTTCTTCGTTACAATTGTGATTTATGTAAGTATTTCCATCAGGATCCACTTTATGATATAATTCACTATCAATATAACCAATATAATGTTCATTGCCAAATCCACCAACAAAGTAAATATCATGTACAATAAATCTATAAAAATAGAACATGTGTCCTCCACCTGGAAGCCTATAAAGAATAATTTTGATTAGGTTGAGAAAGTAAAAGATTACGTAAAATTAATGATTGATAAAATAAAAAAATCTATTTACCACCCACGCGCTCTTGGATGCTTATCTAAAAAACATTTTTGTACATTTGCAACCTAAAAATAATAAAAATAAGATAATAATAAATATTAAAATATATATAAATCAGATATTTATTGAATACATACTTCATCCTCAGATACTCTTTCCAAATGACCAAATAAATTAAGCCTTGGTTCAGCGAAGGGAAAAAAAGTGTCATTATTACTTAGTTTACGAATCATTAAAGAAGCTTTCCAATCATTGCCTCTGGCATTTTGTATATTTTTCTAAAATAACAAATATAATTTTTAAACCTGTTAAACAGATTTGGCGAAACAAGGAACAGGACAGGGACGACAATTTTTTTTTTACAAATACTTTTTTACCTGCCAGTCACTTAAAAGAAGTAATGGATTTCCTGTTGAAGGACAATCATCGGTAAAATAATCAAATAATCCGAAAGGGTAACCTATTTAATTAAAAATTACATTATATATCTAAAAGATTTTTTTCGTCTTGTATTTAATCATTTAATAATTATTATACCTCGAACATCCTTTTTTTCGTGATGATTCATTATAGTAACCAAAGTACCAATACCAATTTCTTTTACAAGATTTCTTGAAATAATAGCCGCATCTTTTTCACTTTCCACAAATTTATATGGATTAACATTATTAATGATCAAACATAAAAATAAAATTAATAGAATTAATCGTTGGAAATTAGCCATGATAATGATAATGTGTGCATATTCTTGAGGTTGGTTGTTGTACTGTGTTTTTTTATATTTTTTAAGGATCATAGATCTATAATCGTTTCACAGCTATTTAAGAATTCGGAAAATATTATTAACGTTTCTCTGCCATATCAAAATTAGGTTAAATTAATTGTGTATGACATGATTTACAATCTGGTACAATGATAAACTTTATTTTAAAAGAAATATTTAGTTAAATGGTTACACATGAGAGACTGAAAAATTTGAAGTGCTTGTATACACAGACTCCACCAGTATTAAAAAAAGATTGGTGGATACGTCATACACAATGAGCCATGGATATCTAATAAATATATACACCGATGCTCCTCCCTTCGGGGGCCCGGTGAATATTTCAGTTATTCATTAATACCCATGGAATAACAAGTATATATTTGTTTCTTTTTTTTATATATATGTATATATAAATAGCCAAAGAACAAATCAAAATTCAATATTCCCGAAGCAACTTTGGGAATTGAAAGTTATTAAAAATTCTTTTTAAAAAGTATTAGTTCAAGATTAACATTAGTAATTGATCATTTAAAAAAATTATTTTAGATATATTAATTTTTTAATCTTTCAACCTGGTAGTCATATGTGATGATCTGTCATGCGACTTAATTATGTATAACAGAAACATACAATGATACTTGTTAAATTTTTTAATTTTTTACCAATTTTTTATTAATAAAAACAAATGTACAATATTTTATATATCAACGAAATACAAATAAATTTTATCTGTAATAATTGTGTCGTAAAACTATTAAAATTAAAATTATTTGTGAATATTAAATGTTAAAAAAAAACCAATTTTGATTCTATAATTTACCTATTTTTAACAAATTCTTTTTACTGATTTTCTTCGATATTCTCTTTATAAACAAAAATTAGAAGAAATCGTTATTGTTTTTTTTTCTTTTTTATATAATCGTGAAATCATTCAATCGGATGAATACCTGGAATATCAATTGTGGTAATAATATTCGTATTTCTTGGCCAAATATCACTATCCATATGAAATGTAATTCCACTTTGGCGAATTACATTAAAATGTTCTTCATTCATTGTTTTTATTCTTGCATCCTCTAAATCTCGAATATTAAAAGGTGCATTATAATGATAAATTTTAAAAATTTTAAGAGTATTTTTACAACTATCTAAAAATATTTTTAAAGACTCGGGTGAAAAAATCCAAGGGTTTGTAAAAGACATATTAAGCGAGAGTATTTCTAAATTCGGAGAGATAGACCTTGCCATTCCGATAAAAATATCATTTGCATCAATTCCTCCTTCCCCTCGAAAATTGATATATTTTAATTCTTTACAATTACTTAAAATTAAGATAATTTCTGTAGGATCAATAGAATTGACTGAAATATCTTCCAATTTTGTGCAGAATTTCGTAATTATTTCAATTAATCCAAAAACTTCAACATCAAATGAAACACTTTTAATATTTAATTGAGCTGTTTTAAATATCTCACAAAAACTTTGAGAAGGAACTTCGGATGGTCCTGAAACATAGAATACATGTTCTAATAAAGGAAATGCATTGCTGATTGCATTAAAGGTTTTTTCTTGAATTTCTTCACACTCAATAAATGTCATGGACCTCAATGCCTTACATTTACCAAATTCGGCTAGACTTTTGAAATCAACGTTAGTAAAGGATACATTTTGAAGAAATATGGAACGAAAAGTATTACTTTGAGTCGCAAGTGATCGAAAAATTGCACCAAAGATGTCATCATCAATTAGAGTAAACCTAGTATCTGAGACAAGCTTGAAATGTTCCAAATGATTTTGAACAGAAATAAGTGAAGCTAAACCTTTTGCTTCGTCAAGTGTTGAGAGAGTAATTTCAAGATGTGAAATATTCTTACAAACATTTGACATGGAAACAAATGTTTTCGCATTATTCGATTTTCCAGGAATTCCATGAAAACAAAAAATTTGAAGATTTGCAAGACTTCTATTAGCACCTTCAAAAGTTGCGAAAGGGATTGAATAAACATTCAATGGATCGAATCCAAAATCACTGAATTCAATATATTTTAATTCTACAGATCGAGAAATGAAATGCTTGCATAAGATTGTAAATATCAATTTAATTTGATTGGAAGTTTTTTGATGTTCATTTAACATAGATCCGCAAAAACCTGCTTGTGGAAACATATATTGTTGAATCCTAAATTTTAAACTAGTAGTTGAAAGATAATTCAAGTAAGATGCGTAATCAAACGCAGTACTAGAAGATGTACATGATAAGTCAACTCCATTCGATTCTAAAAATAGTTTTGATCTTTGATCAAGACATGATAAATACGTTCTCATTATAACCTTCTTACAATGGTTTTCTCGATTATTGTTATCAAACGGATTTTTCCATAGAATAGGGACCGCAAATTTGCACCATTCTCTATTAACCATCAAAGCAGAAAATAAATCTCTGTTTATTTCGAGATTTGAAATCACATCTTCTACACATTCAGTTGGTAAAGGAAAATCCATTTCTTCGGATTAAAAGTTCTGTATATCAGGATCTTTTTTTTTTAATATGAAAAATAAATAAATAGAGAAAATATTTTATAATGTTTAAAATAATGTACAAATTTTATATTATCGCAAAATTTTTGATATCTCTTTTTTACTTACAATTTAAAAAAAAAAAAAAATTTTTTTTTCTTTCAAGTGAATTGTGCATTTTTAACACGCGGAAAACGAGTATAAATATGTAAGATATGTAAGAAACAAGCAATAGATGATATAATTTTACCCAATTTGGATAAATTTTGACAATCAGTTATGAAAATCGTTTGTGTTACAAGCAAGCGATCGTGTTACTTGTAGTATGCAAAGTACCCGTAATTTTAATGCACGAAAAAAAATTATTTAAACCTCTAAAACTTTTAATTTAAACTTTAAAACACTTACAAAAATTAAAATGTCAACTATAAAGCGTAAAAATATCAAAGAAATTTCGAAGGAAAAAAGTAAAATAATTGAAAATGAAACTCATTCTGAATTAACTACACCGTCGCAAAAGGATGTATCCCAAATTTTATCATCATCTGTAGCAGGAGCTTCTTCACTTGTTATGTTACAACTTATTAGCAGATTGACTACTTTTGTTTTGCATCAAGTTGTTTTACGTTACACAGATCCTGCAACATTTGGAATTGCATCAGTGCAATTAGAATTGTTATTGGCAACAATCTTGTTTTTATCTCGCGAAGGATTTCGGTGTGCTTTATTGAGAGGTAGTGGTGATACTATTGTAGTTGATTCTGATGGAAAATCATCTGAGAAATCACAAGAAAATTCGAAAGGTCCGATAATATTTGCCAATTCATCTGTTGGATCCGTCCAAAAAATAACAAATTTATCTTACGTTCCAATTCCAATCGGGATAATTACAACATTTCTTGCCTGCACATTTTATATCTTTTACGCAACAGAGGAATCATTATCTGCACCATATTATGTTATTTCGGTAATACTATATGGTTTAGCAGCATTTATTGAATTAATTATTGAGCCACTTTACGTTGCTGCCTTGAACAATTTATTATTCACTCTTAGAGTGCGTTGTGAGATAATTGGGGTATTTCTTCGTTGTTTTATTACATTCGCAATGACAGTCATAGGTGCTCCAAAAAATGGTGAAAAGGGCGAAAATGCTTATGGAATTTTAGCATTTGCAGTTGCACAGGTTGCTTTTTCTTTAGTTTTGATGATAGGTTATATCGGATATTTCATATCAAATTGGGATATTCAATTATTGAAACCACAAAAATTACAAGATGAAAGGTAATTGGTTATTAAATTCTTTTATAAAGAAACTTTAATACAAATATTTTTATTGATGATCTTTATCTTTATGTATAGACAAAAGGTATTCTGGTTTGACGAACATTTGTTTAACTTAGCCAAAACATTTACAAAGCAATCTTTGTTAAAACATGTCTTAACAGAAGGTGATAAAATGTTAATAGCATTATTAAGTGAGCCAGTTGATCAAGGAATATATGCATTTGTTTTTAATTACGGTAGGTTAAACGATCCGATTCTAGATTTATCATTCCTTTCTAAGATACTCATGTCATTTTTGTTTTTTTAGGATCACTGATTGTGCGAATATTGTTTCAACCATTGGAAGAAACGACTCGTACATTATTTTCCAAACTTTTAACGCGTGTTGATATTCATAATGACGTTAACGATAAACAAAAAGAATCAGAAGCAGAAACTTGTAGAGCATTAATAACATCTTTACAAGTTCTAACAACTTTAATTAAATTTCATATTTTACTTGGACTTCTTTTTATTGGATTCGCAACTAATTATACCGGAACTTTGATTGATTTACTTGTAGGTTCTGTATGGTCCCAAACACCCGCACCACTTGTATTATCAGTTTATTGTATATATGTTCCAATAATGGGAATTAATGGTGTTACTGAGGCATTTGTAGCAGCGGTTGCGTCAGAAGAAACTTTAAGTAAATTAAATTATTGGTTAATTGCTTTTTCAGCAGGATTTGTTGGAGCTGGTGTAATATTTATGAAAGGGTTATCCGCTGGTGCTATTGGATTAGTTGCAGCCAATGTAGTTAATTTATCAACACGAATTTTATGGAGCTGGAATTTTATTAGATCTTATTTTTTAAATCACCGTGATGGTAGACAGGAAACGAATGAATTGAAAAGAATGTTATCTTTATCCAATTTATTACCTAATTATTTAGTGTTACTATCTTTTAGTTTAGCATGGATTATAACTTATTTTTCTAATCAATTGATTGGTTGGGAAACTTTGGATGCGAAGATTAAACATGTTGCTGTTGGTGGTGTTTGTGCTATTGTTGTCGCAGGAATAACGTAATCATTACTCTTTTCTATATTTTTTGGGAATTTTTTTTCGTAAATTCATTAACCAATTATTATTTATACTTAGGTATTTGCAAGAAAAAGAATTTATAAGAGATTCTATGAAACTTATTCGTGGTAACAAGGCACCAAATAAGCGAGAATAATTTATGAATAAGATAATTTAATGTTCTGATGCTTAATAATGTAAAAATTATTATTATAAATTTGTATTTAAATAATTAAAGTGTAATAAATTGAATAAATTGGAATTTTATAATATTGATTACGATAAAAAATATGCTCTTGTTAACTCCTTAAATTCTATGATAATTCGGTTACTATGGCTATGGCCAACAAAGTAATACGTTCAAAACTCTTATGAGAGAATAGTATAAGAGGACCCCCGAGTTATATATATAGGTCAGGGGAGATCGGCACACATTTACTATTAGCTTTACGCATTTCTTCAGGGCCAGCACTATGAATGCTGGTCGGCATTATCTACAAATGGAAGTAATCTACATGATTTGGCACTTTTTATAGCTCGGGGGTCCTAGTATAAGATTCCTAATTATGATAGTTTTGGATTTAGACAATTGTTCTATTCATATAAATGGATTTTCATCCAATTGGACAATTGAATATATGTCCAATCCAGATAGATAATACCCACATTGTCCAAATCATAATTGTCAACTACTGTCGACTGTCGATCATACCTTATTTATTTAGCATAATAAGGTAAGAGTTATTGAAGTTCATTATTTTTTTAAACTTATGCTTATTTTCTCTTTATTGTATTATCGTTATAGTTGGGTCCTTTTCAATAGAAAGAGGAAATTATCAGGGAACCTTCTAGGTTAATGTTGAATGTTTTTTCCAGCCTAAAATTCATTTAGCATACAAAGTAAATTCAGTTTTTTCTGGAAGTTTCCTCCTTTCTATTGCAAAGGGTCCAGCCATATAAAGTAAGAAGTTTGTTGTTAAATACAACTTAAATTTCATAAATTTTATTATTTTCAACAATTTTAGCAAATTTCTGTCTATTCATTTCCATATTATGAAGATTATCGTTACAAAAATATTATTTAACAAAAGTAAATGACGAAATCTAATATCTAGAACTAAAAATTTTTGACAGGTCAGCATGATCCATGCGTTACTTTTTACATAAAATACATAGGGTATTTTTCGAGATTTGGGTGTACTTTTGGCAATTTCATGTCATCATTCAAATACATTCTCGCCCGGGCACAAATCAGATGTGCATAATATGTGGGTGACGGAATGCTTACACTAGATGTGGTGCGCTGAAAGTTATAGCATAATGCATTGCTTAAACATTGAAACTCATCCGTTGTTAATTTGATATCGTCATAAAGAATGGTGTAATGAGAAGGACGTGCCATTCCTTGATGTGTATAGTGTGACTGGAGGTAAAAGTCATTAAGTGTGGGATGAGTGATCTTCCTGTCAACAACTGTTCCAACGAGACAATTGCCATTTTTATCAGCCTCCTTAGGATTTCCAGGAAACAGTCTCGTATGGTGACGTTTGCCAACGACTGCGAAAGTGATCTTTGGTTGATAGCCTGCTTGGAACTCGGCACATGCTTCTTTAATCTTGAGAAGTTCCCATTTGAGTACTCGTTCAAACTGGGATTCACTAACACCATCACGATACATAATAATACATGGCGGAAGAAGCGACGCCACTGTATTTTTGACATTTCCTTTTTTATTCTTCTTGTAGTTGCAATAGTCTTCCAACACTTCCTTTATCATTTTGTCAATATTAATAATCTCCTCCCTGCCGGAGCGCTCTTGAACTTGATATTTTGTAATGAAACGAGTGGCTCGATTATCAAGTGAGCCGACAACAGAACAAATTGAACAACCATTTTTGTCTTTAGGGTGAGTTACATCAGCACCAAGTAAGAGGACATCTTCACCACTGGGAAGACCAATTTTTTTTTCGGGCAGAACCGAATTTACACCACCAAGCTTAAGGTTCATCTTCATGGTGAGGTTGGCACAGTATTGCAAATTATTAAAAAGTTTCTTATAGTTGGAATTTACACTTACACATTGAGTGAGACAGCCAATCTCAGTATCCATAACGCGCTTGATAGTTTCGTAAAGTTTGGTGTTGGTACTTTGGATCTTATCTCCAGGAATAATAAAGAGCATCATTTGTGGTGGTCTGTTGAGTGTTTTTTTTGCATCTTCATAGGTTGATTTAATGACCTTGTCTAAATCATCTTTATGATATTGGACATATTGGATATGTGGAATATTTTTTGTAATATTCATCCCTTGTATTTTGCATTGTGTTATGAGTTTTTCAATAAAACTGTAAACATCTTCCTCGGATATCCGTTTTTCTTGTTGTTCAAAGACAACGACCTGCCAGAAGGCGAGCATTTCCCCACTTTTAACAAACTTAACGTTTTTGAGATTCCATTTTCCATTATTTGCGGGAATTGTAACGTTTTCTGCATATTCAACAGCTGTAGATTCAAGCACATGTGCATCGACTTCGGCTAAATGAGACGCAACTTCCATACCAACCCCAGTTGGGTTTTTATGAAGCTGTAAGATTTCGTGGGCGCCTTTGATTGTTTCTTTTTCATGCTCGTAAGGTTTCATCTTAGCAGCCGAAATGATTTCTGCTCGCTGTTTTCCGGTCAACTTGTTGGTTTTGTAACGCTGCCCCTCAGTAATTTGGCAAAACTCAATTGGCCAGGCGACATGCGTACCCTCTTCACTCATTATTTCGACAAAGAGCTTTTTTGTCTCTCGGTGCTGATATTTGTCCTCGAAGTACTTTTCAAGCGGAAATGTTTCTTCCGAATCTGTCATTGGTTTATATTCGAAATGTGCTACTTTGGTAGCAGGTAGGAGCTTTTTAATGCGTCTCTCAGTGTGTACAGATTCCAGGTGTAGAGGACAAACAAGCAGGCCTTTGAGTATTTCGTTAATGTCTTTCAGCTGATAATCACTAAATTCGTCAGGAAGGTTTTGATATTTTGGATAAAGATATTGGAGAAGAAATTCATCTAGTCTCAATGGCTGATAAAAAGTGGTAAATGTAGGGTTCACATTAACGAACAAGCTTTCTTGACCTGGTCTCACGGTCGAGAACCATCCAGACCACAACTCAATACCACCAGTAATTTTTGTCTTGTTTCCTTTGTTGTAAATTGAACTTTTACCGGATTTAATGAACTTTTCTCCCGCTCTTTGATGGATCAGAGCGTTGAGGACGTCAAGGGAATCGTCGCTGAAAAAATCCCACTCAAACTCTTCTCCACTAATATACTTCTCTAACTGTGTTAACTTGACGACAGTATCTGTTCGGCTAATCTGTACACTGTATTGAGTGGACTTGCCATTAATATTATGAAGATCTTTAAGAATAATAATTTCTATAACAACTGGTTTTGTTTCGGTCTCTTTGTCAAATCCTAGACGGTCAGTTGTGAAAAGAGTAGTACCACCATCATATGCAATAACAACATTTTGGAACCATTCTCCCTTTTTAAGGCTAAGTTCTTTAAGAATCCTGCGTCGAATACTCTTTCCATAATCTGATCTTTCACGCTTGATGTCAGCTTCAATATTCTTTTCGGCATCAATTGGTTTGATCTCAAGAGTATACTTAAGGAATTCGTCGTATTTTGAGATTTTTGTCACTTCGAAACTATTGGCCTTCACTGTAACGACTCGTCCCTTTGTTCCAAATCCATCACGTTTAAGAATAGGGACGGAAGATTCGTTTTTGATGTTGATTTTTGTTTGTGACATGATTTTAATTAATGTGTTGAATTAATGAGAAGCGGGCGCTTTTATAGAAAATAAATTTTCTACGCCCAGGGCTGAAAACTGGGCTGAGTACAATAGCGGCAAATTTTTTGTCAAATAGTTCTCTGAAATAGTAATCATTTTTTTTTTGAGATATTACATATAAACCATAAAAACTATTACCTATTACGAAAAAACTATTAAAAAAATTTTTTAAAAATGAACGGAATGAAAGTTCCTAGATTATGGGAATTGAAAAAATGAATTCGAATTAATAAAGGCTCGAATTCTTTACTAATTCTGATAACAGAAGCAAGCCATCGGTAAATGATTACAGTCCATTTGCGGTGGCGAAGCTCAAATAATCAATAATAAGCCGTATACCGTAAAACGCCGCAAATAATCAAGTATGGAAGTTTACTTCCATATGTATTGTATACCTCAAATTTGAACCATACTTGGAACTTTGACTTCAGTAGGCTTGGGTCAAAGTTTAACAAGTTTTTTTTGCAGGATTTCTAACATTATCAGGCTTAGACCTATTATGATTTATATAATTTATTTGATATATCTTATAAAAGTTGCTTATCAATATTTAACTTTGTATAACTTATAATTATGGATTGCTAGTACTATAAATTTATTTGAAATATAATAAAAATTCAAATATTGGTTGTTTGGCTATTTTAAATTTAACAGTATATTAAAATAAAAAGAAACAACAAAGTTAACATTAATTAAGGATTTCAAAAAATAAATCCATTATTTAAGAAAACTCATTAAAAACTTCCCTGTTGTGATTTACTTAAAAGTTATTCCTAAAAAAAATTTGAAAAAACAAAATTATTATATTAATAACTTTCTAATCTTTAAATCATTCATGTCACTAGTTAAATTTATGTAATGAAAACTTTATCATATAGCAATAGAAGATATTCTTAATTTTTAAGTATTCATATTTCTCTTTATCTTACTCTTTTTTTTTGTTTTATTCATAAATAATGAAAATGTGAGGAATAATAATTTCTTGATGTAAAAATTACAAATGTATAAATTGTTAAATAATAAATCATAGTTCATTCTCAAAATTTGGTTACGAAATATATTAAAGATTATAGCAGTGTTTGTGTCAATGTCTATATAATGTTTTATAATATTCAAAACTACAAAAATAATACCATTAATATCCATAATAAATCTTGACATTTCATATATTCATATTAATCTCCATAGAATAAAAATTCTCTAAACTATCTCTATCTCCAAAATCTTTTAAAATACCATCATTCATATATTCTCTTATAATTCCTTCCGGCTCATTCTTAGATTGACTTTCAAAAGATAATATATATAATGATAAAGTATTTTTTCGTTGTTCTTTCCAAAATTCCAAAAATTCTTTCAATTCTTCTGAGGTAAAAGCCCATCCTCCTTGTAAACATATTATACATAAATTTTCTAGTGATAATATCTTCAATAATTCAAAAATTAATTTTCCTTGTAAACAATTTTCACTCTCTATTAAATTATTACTTAAGTAATCTATATTCCCTCTTAAATCTTTGTGATTACAAAATTTAATTGTTTCTAATTGATCACATAAATTCAATAAAGTGAAGAGTTCTTCCGACCACCAGACCGTCAAGAACCTCAACGTAGAAGAAGCTGGTAACAATATTTGAATATATTTTCCAATTTCTTCAGCACACGTGGGTGGATTAATTTTATGCCAATAAATTCTTTTTAAATAAGAGGAATTTGAAGAAATCGAATTTGAAATTAAACTTGAATAAGTATTAAATGGAGCATTTTCATCACAAAAAATATCTAAAATTTCAAGTTTAGGTAAAGTAACATAAGCTAATGATTCCATATTTGAAACTTCCGTTGTTATATCCAATTGCAAAATTCTTAAATTGATGAAAGAAGAAATTGTTTGTGGAGGAATACATAAACTTTGTCGTATTTTAAGAAAAGATAAAGAATGCATTTGAGTGGCTAGTGCTTGGCCTATTTCTGGACAAATACTAACATAATCTTCACTTGACACTAACACAAGAGTTTTTAAACCTTTTTGTAATTTTATTAGGGTGATTAAACCATCATTATCTTGATCACAAGGATAAATTGTCAATCGATGTAGGTTTCTACTTATATGAGCTAATCCATAAAATAATTCTGGTGATCTTTCAGTATAACATTTGAGATCTCTAAGATATTCTAAACAATGATTTGCTCCAGGAAAATAAGATAAAGGAATCTTTGGTAAAACGAGATGTTTAAGAGAACATTTCGTCATAAATAATTTGTAAAATTCCTGTTCTACCAGATGTTCACGATATGCTTTGTATTCACTATTTACATTATTTTTATTATCTTCATCAACTGTAACGGATTTAAGTTTATCCATCACGGTAGGTGATAAATGTTGACAATATCCCACGTAATCGAATAAAGGAGGTTTCTGTGATGTTGTCCGTAATAATAAATCTATTCCATTATTTCTCAATATTTCTTTTGAGTCTTCAGGTAAACAAGATAAAAGTGTTCTTACAAGAGGTGGCCAATCTTTATTACTTAAAATAAGTTTTGCACATTGCCATGGATTATTCCATATGAGTGGAATGACTGTCTCACACCATAATTTATTTACTAGTAGGCAAGAATGAAGTGAACTTGTGTAATTTAAGTCGTCCAACAAACATTTAAATATTCCATTAAGACAATCTGTCGGTAAAGGTGCTGGCATTTTTTAATATTTAGTTAAATTAAAAACTATTTTTATAATAATAATAACAATATATTAAAAGCGTTTATATAAGATAAAAAAAAAAATACTACAACAAATAAATGAATGAAATAAAGTTATGAGAAAAAAAAAGTAACGAGAAAGGCTAAAAAAAAGTGGCTTTTATGTTTATGAGAGAACGTAAGAAATTGGTAAAAGCCATGTTACCCAAAAAAGAAAGTACAAATGATCGATCAGTGATGATTTAATCGAATTACACAAAATAATTCCACAACATATTCATGATTTCATTGGTTGCATTTTTAAAGTGAAGATTTGCACGAACAATTTTGTGCGTTGCAGATTGCACGAATTACGCGACATACCGAAGTCACGGTTTAAGACCAAAACCGAATTTATTAATTAATTTGGTCCGATTTGTCTGAATAATTTAATGAAATTGTTCTCGAAAGTATGGTTGGATTCTGTATATTCTGCAAATATACATTTTTTTTCCATGTCGCATTGGTGTAACATAAAATTTATTAAATTTAGTCCATGCACATCAAACAGCTTTGTTTCTCTTCTTGGTTAATTTGTTTTTTGTGACTTACCAGTAATTTTAATTTAACAATTCAAGGTTAGTACATATTATAATTGCGTTTTTAACAAAACCTTTCCGAATAGGCAAATAAATTTTTTATTTGCAGATATAAATTTATAATATATTGATATTTTTTCTTGGAATTAATTTAGATATAGAAAAATGAATTACGGAAAGCTGGATTTATATTTTCATAATGCCTGGATAGGTAATATATTTTTTTTAAGAAAAAATTATTTGTTATTGCTTCTGCTTAAACATCTGATCGACTAATACTTATTTTTATTTTTCTTCTATTATGTCAGTATTATGTCTCATTTAATTTTTTTCTTAATAGTTAGTATTTGAACAATTTATTAAACACAATTATATTGTATTAAACAAGTTACAATCATTCTCTAAGTGCACCCCCAATGAAAACTTGAAAAAACGTGCATTTAGAGAAGGAAATTTTATATGATCTCTATATACTTGGGACTAAGAGGGTGCGTTTAGAGAAAAATCATATAATACGTGCACTTAGAGAGAGTGCACTTAGAGAGAGTTTACTGTATTTAGGCTACACTTATTAGATCAAAATTATTATGTTAAAGTTCATCATGATATTCTCAGCTAGGTTAATTAAAAAAATGATGACTTCGCTATTGAGATCTTGTGCAATTCGGCGATTATAAGTTTATATTTTTCTAGTTATTATTAATTATGGAATTTCCTTGGTATTTAATTTAAATTACTATGCTTATACCTTAATATTTTTATATTAGAGTGTTAACGGATAACTATCTCATATAGTTCATGTCGAGGTTTATAAAACATTCCTATTATGTTGCGTTTGCAAAACCTCGTTTCGGGCTACGAAACATCAAGCTTTGCTGAGGGTATGGCTTATATTTTCAGGTAAATTAATTTATATAATTATATACAAGATAGATAGATAGATGGAAACACATTCTTCAAATTCATTATGGAAATTGAATTTTATATCAATTGAGTTTGTAAATTTTAGTTCAATATTAAGAGCTTAATAATCGTTAGACTTCATCGATTTTCTTTTTTTATCTTTACTGATCTTCCATTATCATCGAGGTAATCTGAATAGTATTAGTTTCATCCTTCTGCGACTGAATGCCTTTTACATGTACATATGTATATAAATACATATTTCTTAGACGTTGGAGAATCTCAAAATTGTTTAATTAAGACTTACATCTGATAAACATATTATAGAAACTTCAGGAATTTGTCGTCAAGTAGAAAGTGTAATAATTCCTTATGGTGATTAAGTTGCTTAATATTTCTTAATTATTAAGAAAACGGGAAATTAAATATAAATGCCATCAGTTTACGATGATGTTCAGCCCAAATCTAAAAGTTTCTTTCGCATTGTTCCTTTGCTATATGATCACTATTATTTTAGTTTTTCAAACTAATTGCCGTATAGGTGGGAGATTAAAATGTATTATTAAAACTTGAATATATCAGGAATTTACATTTGTGCTGTTATTGGCTACAGTAAATAAAAACAGCTATCAACTCACCAAATAGCAAACCAACATTAAATAAGTTAATGTCTTTTTTTTTAAAAAAAAAGGACATATACAGTATTTAACTATATTCCTCAAAATAAGTTAGGTAGGGATGTTAAGTAGTTCGGAAGCGATTTGAACAATTTTGAAATTATTAAATACAGTTGAGTCGAATTACTTTACTCCAATAAGTAACTTTACCTAAAAAATCGACACCAATAAATTTTTAATTAATTTTCAATAAAGAAAAAATGATCTCCAAAATGTGCAATTGCTTCAAACTACTTTAGAACCGAACCGGTTTCGAACCCGGTTCATTACAACCAAAAATATTGATTTCTCATTATAGACAAGTTGAATTGCTTAACTTCATTAATTAAAAGATTATTATAAACGAGATTTACTAATATTATAATAAGAGAAAATGATACTCAATCCAAGCAATTTTCAATAAACCACTTCCGAGATACTTAAGCAATTTAATATAGGAGCGTTATTAATCGCGTGTAACGAATCAATCATATTCTTTTTTTATAATCTTATCAAGTAATCCCACCAATATTAGCGCATAATTTTTTTTATAGCTAGCTTCTTCAAATAGGATATAGTAAAATCGATTTTACACCAGTTTTTACGATCAGACTTCGAAAAGATTCGATAATCGATTCCAAATTTCCAATCCCTATGTAGACTCGAGAAAATTTAATCAATATTTGAGCGGGTTTTTCTACGAATAAGCAAGTAATGCGAGAATGAATAAATTGCACTAGATTAGGGCTGTTAAAAATTAATAAAATTAATAAGTAATTTCATTTTTCTTTACACGTGTCAACTTCACCATTTTTTATACTTATATTTATAAATGAGAGAAAGCCCATACTTTGACTAAAGATTATCATTAATAAATATATTACGTGATTTAATTGTGATTTATTATCATTAAATACAAATTAAAATGTTAATATGGTGAAAATATTGTCATTCTACGATTAAATCACACATTCAGGCTTAAGGTGATTTATTGTCCATGGCCAACACAGTCCACCTTTTTGTGTCTTTTCCAATCTTCCTTCTGACAATCTCTGCTACAATAAAACACTGATTTGCACTTGGAACATAGTCCACCACCAGCTCCTACGGTGCTTGTTTTTCCACATCGTTTGCATGCATCATTTTTTTTAGTCTCATTATCTTCGACTTCACTATTATCTTTAATTTTATTATCTTCTTCAGTTATCGAGACATCAGTTAACGTGGATAAAGTTGGTTTAGTGGCTATGACTGGGTCAAAGTTACATTCTTTTTTGTGTCTTTTCCAATCCTCTTTTTGGCAATCTTTGCTACAATAAAATACAGATTTACACTTTACACATCTTCCACCACCAGTTCTTGTGGTGCTCATCTTTCCACATCGTTTGCATACCTTTGCATCTTTGTCATCTTTTTCAGTTAGATAATCTTCAGTTTCGTTATTATCTCCAGTTCTTGAGACATCAACCCATGTGTCATGATACACACTCTTCTGAGTTGCATTGGATAATTTTAGCTTCTTTGAGGCTAGAAGAATCGTTTCTGAGCCGACATTACATTCTAAAATCCAATCTTTATGGGAGTCATAAAATGAAACCGGGAGGTGGAATGTGATGGTAATTAGAGGTGCCTCAATAGCGCTCAAAGAAACGCTATCAAAATAATAATGAGTTGGCTCCTGATCGTTTGAAAAGTTACTAGTACTATTACTTCCTTCCTTTTTTCGTCTCTGTACATTACCAGCGGGAACCGGCTTGATTAATCGTAGCCATATTTCTGCTTCCGAATGCACTTTTGACGTCCCCGTCAAATTCGTCAGAGTAAATATTTTTGACTTTTCTATCTTATCCGTTTTCCATCTCAAAGTATATCGACCAATAGATACTTTCAAATCTTTAAACTCCTCGAGTCTTATAACCATTGACCAAGACAAATGCAATGTCATAAAAGTCTTTAACTCGACGAGATGCATTACAAAATTCGGGATATGCTTCTTGAATCCATCAGACGCAAAGAGAGTTCGTAACAATTGTGCCATTGTTTTTTCGGGAAATCGAAAAATCATTATTTGAAATAAACGTACGAGTATATTGACGCTGAGCCCTTTAATACGATTTATATGAGCTGTACAACAGATATTTGCGACTGATATTACATCAGTCATTAATGTATCAAGCTTGTCTTCAACTTTGTTTGTTATATCAAAATTCCATGTGACATATACCGCGTAATCTTGGTAATAAGCGTTTAAGAATGTAATACCTGTCAAGCGTGCAAGAATGTTTAAACTCAATCCAAGTCGTTCCTCAACAAACTCTTTCATGGGTTTGGCAGGTGGTTGTAACAATTTCATTAATTGCAACGTTAACGGAGAATTATCCTTTAATCTAGGTGCAGCAGTCAAGAGTATACTAAGAAGAGATACATAATCAGCCAAATTCGAACAGTCAATAGCATTGAATCTCACAGATGAAGGTAAATGACAGAGCAAGATGTCTATGACATCTCCCAATAATGGCATAACTTGTATCCGCACTGAAGAAGTCCCACGCAATGACGCACGTAGAGATATTAACTTTGGTAATAAAGTTAACAATAAATGATCATAAAGCGTTAGGTCCTCGATCGAATCCTCACGTTTTTCACCAGATCGCGGAATGTCACAAGCAACTTGAAATGCGCGGAAAATACTAGAAGTTCGAAAAACATTATATTCCATCGTAGGAACTGTTAACATTGTAACATTAACCATATTGCGTCTGGCTCCAGGACGTAAGATTTCATGTTCATTATTGCATGTTTGAGCTTGAGAGCTAATTGGTAATTGACAGCAAGTGTATTTATCGATATCTTCGTACACTTTACAGTATTTTTTAAGATCTTCCAATCTTTCAGTTTCTGGCGAAGAACCTCCAACAAGCAGATATCCCGATTGTTTGGTATCCCAATTTAGAGCTGTAGCTGTAAGTTTGTTTTCTTGCCAGCATCGCAACGTTCGTAATACGGAAGATGCCGTGCTCGATGAATATTTAAATGAAATCCAGGATGGGAGTTTCTTATTGAAGCTAATGTTCTTGCTTTTTTTATTACTTGTGTCTATATTATTTTCAAAAGCTTCAATTAAACTTTGTATGCAACTGCTCAGCTTATTATAAGAATTAGAGCTAATGATTTTTTCACCCCATACTGACAGAATTTCTGTTACACCAACGACAAAGTCTTTATTCCATTGGCTATAAAGATTTTTTATATTTATGAAAGGCTGTGGTTTTGGGTCTGGTAACCTACTAATCATTTCAAGAAGCACTAAATCACGAGTAAGTATTGTCGGATTGAAATCATTTATTGTAAAAAGTAATTTAATGCTGAAATTCTCGATCTGACCTTCTGTTGAGTTCGTAAGACCATGAACAGTTTCGACAATATTACGCAAATCACCGATACCACCTAAAAACATAGACACTTGTTTACTTTTAACTTGGGAAGTTGTTCTTATTGCTGAAGTCTCCGTCGTAGCCGTATATGATTTATCAGAGATAGCGGCACCGATGTCAAGATCCTTCAATAGATTGAAGCCGTATGTATTACCAATGGCGTAGAGAAAAGGCTCTCCCTCATAGAATAAATGCATTCCTGGACGATTAGAAGACACGTTGAAATCAACAAATTCTTGTTCATTTGAGTCATTATCTTCAATTTTATTATTGATCACTTTAATTGGAGTGAACAATTGATGCGTTTCTATTCCGAAGATAATGCTACTATCACGAAATGTATCTGCTGTGGGTTGTGAAAAATTTCCTTTCTTATTGGAATGAATATGGTTGTTTTCCACAACTACTTTTCCCTTATAATTTATACCGATTTCGATACCATGTGACATATTATGATGAAATTTGTTGTCTAAGAGATAGGCATCAGCTCCTCCCTTAATAACACATCCAGTAGTACCGCTGGCTGCTACTTCATTTTCCTCCATCCGCAATTTAGCTCCTTGCTCTACAGAAATACCAAAGGATCCGCTCTTTAGGATCCGATTCTTCTTTAATATAACAGCTGTCTGTGAAGGCTTTGTGTAAGATAACGTAGGTGGTGGTTCAAATGCGGCTTCTTCGCGAAAGCCAGGGGGTAGAAATCCTTTGTGTTTTTTTGATATGGCAGGTTCACGGTTGCCGTTGACATAAATTCCTTCTGCGTAATTATCACGGATAATATTATCAATAAGCGTGACTTCATTGGCATCCAACCATACCAAAACACCTTGCTTATTATGGTGAATTTCATTTCTCTCAGCATATAAACTAGATCCATATCGTACTTCAATTGCGTTCAATCCGATATCATAAATGTTGCAATTTGTGATCTTGGCTTTGGCATCAGAAATTACTAAAATACCACCAGAGTTCCTTGAATTGGAAACAACACATTTATTCATAAAAAGTGTTGCTCCACGCCCATCAATACAAATAGGTGGCATTAAACCAGAACATTTGGTAAACTGACAATTGTCTATAAAAACATGAGATGTTTCCAGGACTAGAGAGTGTCCTTGAGTGCATTCGATATTAATATTATATAGTACAATTTTGTTCTTACTGCCAGAAAACACATGCGAATAAGGGTTTTTGATCGTCACCTCACCAATTCCTATGATCACAATGTTTCTACCCACAATTGGAACCACAACATTATATGTACCAGACTCGAGAATTAATATTACATCTTTGAAGAGCAATGAATCGATTGATACACCTTTGGCTATGTTGTGTTGCCTGACATCCTTTGGAGGAGGGAAAGGCATTCTCTTACATTGTTGAATAAAGAATTTATCTTCATGAGAAATTTCTTTCAATGTCATTGCAATTAAAATATTAACATATGCACCGATTGGATTATCATTTGCAGCATATATCTTTGCAATAATACTGTAAGCTTCTTTGTTACACATTGCATCTAAGTCAATAGACGTCTTAAGATAATCCAAAGCCTGAAGTCGTTTTTCTTCTTCAATAAGATTATAATCACTACAATATTCTGTAATAATAGCCTTTGCGAGGTTGAAATAAATTCTTGACAATTCTTTCCGTTCTTTGGATGAAAGCAGCGAGAATGAAGACTTTGGAAGGACAAAAGAAACGGCAGAATTAACTTTAAACACTTTAGAATGTTTCTCTTGGAACCTTTTCAATTCCAGCATATGGATTTCGAAAGTATTTGGAACATTGACAGACTCCATAATATCAAAGAAATGCTTTACACAGATAATGGGCGCTCTTACCCAAAGGAAGGTAACGTTAACTGAGAAAACACAATTTTTTTGGGTATTAATGTATAAATATTGTAACACAAAAGGGCTTATTTTGGGTACATTGTTGTGGCGCAGGATTTTCAATATATATTTAGTCAATTAGATTAATTTTAGTAAATCTTGACCTAAATGATCATTTTTAAAAAAATGTAAAAAAAAGATGAAAGTTTAAAATTTATCAAAATAAGGATCAAGAACGTATCATTTTATATTTATCATTTCAATATCCTTTTTATATATATGCACTACATTCTAAAAAAAATAAAAAATAATGAAGCAAATTCTAATATTAGTGATAAACTTTAAAGAATAAGGAAATATTTTTTACAATAGGTAGGTATTGTACGTTACGTTTGCTTTACGCGATTATTAACTTTTACATGATTAGTGTTACGTACTAGAAAATTCAATTCAATCCGGACTCATCAGAATTCATCAGTTCGTTTCAATCTGGGAGATAAAGATTGCAGCATTAAGTTCGTAACAACAAATTTATAATTATGAAAATAATAAATTCTCATTATCTTCATTGTCTATTAAGCTGTTATTGAGTGGGAGTGAAACAAGTTATATAGATATTGTATGTGAGTGGATAGATTATTTCGAAAATCTGATGTTTGTAGAAGGCGACTTATAGTTAGCGATATAGATAGAAACAAGTTAGTTGTAGAAATTTACAAGAAGCCTGAGAGAGCAAAGAAATAATATGATGCTGGGACTCGCATTAAATAGCCTAGGATCCGCGTACTCCTTCCCTCTTGATAGCATCACACATTTCATTCGCTTCTCTAGCATTTCTGATTCACTTGAAAAATCAATAAAGTTTCGCTTTGCATCAATAAAATAAGACATGTTTATGTGTCAATTTTTTAAGTGTCATCGTATAATCAGTACTGTTGATTTTGTACTGATGAAATTGTTATATAAAACTATATGTTTGATAAAATGACACGTCACGCGTCGCGTTTTATCATCAAAAACTTACGATGAAAGTGATGAAAGTTGGCTGTTATGGGAATGAGAGTACGTGATTCACGTGCATATTAATAAGTATCTGAAAGTATCTTTATATGTATAACTACATCAGCTCTCTCTATAAAATATTCAGAATTTCTTTGTTTTACATTTTATCCTCAAATAGTAAAAAAAAATTATCACTCTCTCGCAATGATTAAAGAAATTTTCTTAACAAACAAATACGTGGCAAAATCAGAGGTTCCCTGTTAAGCAAGTCGGAAGAAGAACGCCTTAATTACTTCGTACACTACCCTCCCAAAAGTATCTGACCAAGCTCTATTTGATTTTCTCTAGAACGATTATATTAAATATCATTTTTTTTAAAAAAAAAATAATTCCTCTGGTTCTGACGATTAAAATGGATGTATTTTTATTGTGTTACGATGCATGTGTCGGATTTGGCAATTAAAATCATATCACAAGCAATGAATGCTATGAATAATGCTCTGGGTTAGGGATTGGAATCGATTCCCATTATTAGAATCGATTCTAAAATCGATTAATCGCGATTAATCGTTTCGCAAACACCGATTTTTTTTTATACTATTTATAATAGGTGTGTTTAAACACATATCACGTGATTACAAAAAATTACAGTGATCGACGAACAAATTTCCTTTTTTGGAAATTTGTACAACCTTGTGCGATAGCAACTTGAATTTTATTGGGAGATAAAATTTACTTTTTAGGAAGTTTGTGTTCCGTCACGTGATTCGCGGGCGGAATTATGAATTTGGCCAAAATTAACTATTATGAACAAATAATAATTTACGGTCAAATTAACGAAACTGCGCCACAATAAGTAGATTCGATTTTTATTCGAGATTCGATTTAAAATCGATTCTTATCGATTTTCGATAGTTTTGATTTTAATCGAATCTTTTCCGATCCCTACTCTGGGTCATATCGCAAGAAATGTTAAAATTGGATTGTACAGAAAAAGATTAAAGTTCTTCCAGATTGGCCTTCCCAATCCCTGGACCTTAATCCTATTGAACATTTGTGGCGTGAACTTGAACGAAGACTTTGAAAACGATCTGGCTGATCTGCCAAAGAATTTTCATGAACTTGAAGAAGCATTGCAAGAAGAGTGAGAAGTATTCCTACCGAAACTTACATTAATTTGATTGAAAGCATGCCACCCGAATTGAAGCATGCATTAAAAACAATGGATGGTCAACTAAATACTAATTATTATTAATAAAATATAATATTTATTTAAACTGTTGCTTCGTTAATTTCAGGATTGGATTCGTAATGCAACTAACTTTGCTTTTAGTCTCCTAACCCAATTTAGATGATATGATGATTAGTCAACAAGAACGTGACTCATAGCCTTGATATTTGATATAACACCTGCTTTTCTTTTTGCTTCTATCATATTGTACTTTGCTCAAGAAAACGCCAAAAAAGATGGAATACATACATCACTTCCGTTGGCAATTCCGACCATAAATCTTTGATATGCTTTGCAGCAATAAATTTGTACCCGAGTCACGTGCCAAGTTCTCCGCAAAACACTTATGGTAGTTGGGGATAAGCACAGCAAAACAAGGGGATAGCCTCAAAAAAATATTTCTTAAGTTTATATGATAATTATGCTCCAATTTATCCAAAAATTACAGTTGTAATGAAGTCTCAAAAAAAAATTTTTAAATCCTATCCCCTTGTTTTGCTGTGCGTGTCCCCAGTTGATGAACACGACGTACTATTTAGCTATAAAACTATTCCTGCACCTCTTCGGCTTCATATCTTGAAACTCTTAATGAACCTTACATATTGGAGTGAGAATAGTCTAGGAGCTCGTGTGGTCTTGACTGGTACAGCACACGCGAAGTTTGTGAAAAAATACCTAATAAACGGTATGAACGATTGGATTGAATTTGTTGGACCGTTACCAGAAGATATTTTTGATAGTCTGTTGAAACTTCACCCCACCCTTGGAGATGGAGAATTGTGCCAATGGTGAAGGAAGTTACTAATTGCGTTCCGCGAAAACTCATATATTTTGATATATAAGGAATCTAATTAGCAGCAACTGAACTTCTAGAGCGCTTCCGTGAAGATCGACATAGTAAACTTCTAAACATTACAAAACAGATTACCACAAAAACCTTTCAGCTATGTTTTGGGCTAGTGTGTCGGCTCAAAGACGAATATAATTTCGTGTTGTTTAAACCGCTGTGCTCAGCTGCATTGGATGCTCACATTGATGTGCACCGACTTTCCCATTACCCAGAGATGAGAGTGTGACGTCTCTTATCTCAGTCCAGATAATTTCGAGGAAGTACTCTTCCAACAAATGTTAAACCATCGTAATATATTATTCAGGCGACGGAAACCCTACAATAGATATGCATATCCAGTTCGAGCATTTGATAAGGACCAGCTCGCTCCTAGTCCGCAAATTGCCAAGTTCTTAGTTCACATTATCCACGGTTTGATTTTATGATTGGATATACATTTATCCAAGACTCCAAGTGTCCGTCAGCCCTTTCGACCAACATAACAAAGGATCTGCAAATATTTTGAAAGCTTTTGAACGCTACCACAAAGATGGTAGCGATTCAAGAAACCAGATAGAAATATATCTGGATACAGTGTTTGATGGTCGGCATACGGTTATGCTCATAAATGGCAAAATAGCAAATTTGCCATTTTTAAAAACAATTTACTCATTGTATCAGACTTCCGCATTGTCTCACCTAATCATACTCGGTTAAGAAATATCGAGATATAGCGATGATGAGATAAAAACTAAACTCTTTGGCGATTTCTTACTTAGTTAGCTATATACTGTATTTTATGTATGTTCTAAAATTATTAATAAACATATTCACCCATTTCAGTGTTGTAAACAGTAAAAAAAGTATACACCAGTTTTTCCGTGGATTCTTTATTGGGTTGTACAAACATCAATGTGCATTAACTCAATATTTATTGCGGAAACGTTCAGGATTTCCATCTATATTACATAAATTCCCAGAAGACATAAATAAGGTATACCGAATTTTCTACTATTATGAAAAATCTACTTAGTTTATTAGATTTAGGACGCATAGTGGACATTACTCAAAATGTCGTGCAACTCGAAAGCTCCATCCACACCAACAAAAGAAAACAAAAAACAGATGAAACTTGCAAAGATGATTTCGACTGGCATTGTTGCCACAGCCATGGATTGGTGCTTCATAACGTACACACTAGGATTGAAAGCAGACTATAAACTTCGTCATGTGAAATCGATTACCTGAAATACGCAGTATGATACCCGGATATTATAACCTCCATTTGTATGTATTGATTAGTATGGTTAGTAAGCTGACCATTCGACCATACCATAGTACCATACATACAATGGAGGTCATATCATACCGGGCAAGATGACGGTTTACAATACATTGTGAGCGTAACTAAGTGTTAAAATTGGTCAAGAAAATGCTCAACTATTCGCAAACGAACATTATATTAGAGTGGGTGCCATATGAAAGGGTTATAATATATAAATTTCTTACAAAAGCGCGAGTTTGGCGAAATATATGAATCAAAATGAGTGGATGATAAAAAAAAATGTTTGGGATAAAAATCGTCCAATGAATTAGTAGCTTTAATTCAAAAATGTCAAATTAGATTTTATCAATGAGTATATTACAGTATTTAATGATCTTGGAAGATTCAGAGAATGAAAATTTTACGAAGTTGCTTATCTAACAAGAATCTCAAGAAGTTAAGTTTGTCAAACTAAATTAACCTACTTTATAATATTGCACTTAGCCTAACTCATGATAAATTTCATTACACAAAAGTACCTACCAAACTTTTAAAGCATCTATATTTTCCAAATTCGAATCTTGCTTCCGTGTCTAATTATTATAATAAAAACGGTACTATTTTGAGACATAACCGTAAGTTCAACGCTTATTTTTTTTATTATTAGAATGTTAGATTATACTCGCAAAGACCAAAATGGTTCAACAATATGGAAACATGCGATAATGTAATCGTATATGCGTAGTAAAAGCGCGATATAAGGAATTCCACTGACTTTTTTCCGTAGGCATTTCTTCGAGCAAGAGGAGTAGCCTGCCTAGCAATCCCGTTAAACTACCTGAGATCGCTGGTTATCGCATTCACACAATAAGAATAAATAAACCTTATATTTATAAATAAAGATTATCGTATTATTTGAACGTTAATAGCAACATAACAAATTTTGAAGGTATTGATTTGTAATACTTTACGTACATGATTATCAAATTTTACAAAAAGAATTTGTAGTATAAAGAGGATAAAGTTAATCGTAAAATGCAAATCACAAAAATTAAATATAATAGCATTAATAGCATTTAGGTAATAGTAAACTATCCAACATATAAAATTTATCAATAATTATAATAATTGTCCAGATCTACTCTTTTTTTTTTTTTTTACAATTTTTTTTTTTGGTAATACTGTACAAATAATTTAATTGTTGAACTTGATAATCTATTTTACCATTTAAGGTTCGTATCACAGTTAAACAATAATGTATATCTTCGCCATTTCCTTACGTTAATAGGGAGCTTTCTCTTTATATATTTTGTGATATAATTAGTCTGATTTAGGTTTCTTTCTTATCTTGTATTTTCAGGTTTAATCTAACCAAAAAAGAATTTAAATAATTAAGTCAGTATCACCTTTATTAGTGCCTAATGAATATCTTTGCCATTTCTTTATATTAATAAGAGCGCCATATTTGACGTAATCGTTACTTTGATTTATAATCTTTTAACACTACTCGCAAGATTAATTATTTAATTGTGAGTTCAATCTCAAACTCAATGATAATGATAAGCTATCGGCATTAAATGATATAAAAGACTACTGGTCCACTTCGCCTCCTAAAAAACATATCCATATCATCGTAAAATTGCCACGTAAGTGTCTGGAGTGTCTGGTGCAGTCTGTAATTTTTCATTATTTGCCTTCATAATATATTAACACGTATTTATTTTACCAGTTGTTAGAAAATTTGATAAATCTAACCAAAAAAGAAATTAAACAGGAATTATTGTATCACATTTATTAAATAAATGATTATCTTAATTACTAAGGTTGTTTTCTCTAGATAAATTTAACTAAAAAAAGAAATTATATAGTAATCACTTATCACTATCCTAATGATTATCGTAACCCCAAACTATAAGTACCTCCGTTTTTTTTTTATTTTTTACTTTTTTTTTTATTTTTATTTTATTTTCTTTTAAAATTAATGAAATAATGTTGTCAGGAGTAGTGTCAAATGTATTAATCTATGTTGTATTAGCAATATTCTTAGGAATTGGAATTTACGCAGGATATAAGAAAACAAAAAATAAATCTGATTATCTTTCCTCATTGGGTACTCAAAATGCAGTCGCTCTAGGTTCTAATTGGTTTGCTTCAAGTAAGAACTTAATTATATGAAGAAAAAGATCCGTTTGAGAAAATTTTTGAGGCGGCGGGTTTGTATAACAGTGTATTTATACGCTGTACAGGTAAGGTGCTCCATCAATGAAAGTGCCAATTATTGAGACTCGTTTGATGTTATGTAATAATTCGAGGGATTCTTATTATTCATGTAAATTATTCGCCTTTCGTTGCTGCAAATAATGTGTATATAAATTTTCTTTTTTTTGCATTCATGATCCAGTAATTACTCTTGAATATTTATATAATATCTTTCGATTCTCTGATAAAAATTAATAAAATTTGGATTGGTACTACGGGTGCTCAACCTTTCATGTGTTTTTAAAATAAAAACTGAAAGGTTGGGCTGAGAAAGCACCGTTAACTACCTGATCAGGGTAATACCTGCGTAGGGAAGCTGCCACTTCAAATACTCTTTTCATTTACGTTCGGGTTTCATTATTTTATTCTTTTCTTTTTAGGTATCGGTTCATCTATATTATATTCTTTTCCCGAAGTTGGTACCATAGCAGGATTATTAGGCGTAATTATGTATGCTTTTGGAAGTATTATACCTTTATTTGTATTTGCATGGCTTGGACCTTTGATTAGGAAAAAATGTCCCGAAGGATTTACTTTGACCCAATTTGTTCTGGAAAGATTTGGACGCTTTAATCAAATTTATGTTTCTTTAATGTCAATTGCTTATATGTTTTGCTTTATGATAAGCGAGTTATCAGCTGTTGGCAATATTTTGGTGACATTGACGGGTGTAGATAAACTTGCTCCAGTTATTTGCATCGCAATAGTTACAACTCTTTACACTGGTACTTATCAAGATTCAAAAAAAAAGTTCTTTTCTTTTACTTCATTCGAAATTAAAAATTTTATTATTTTAAATAGGATATGGAGGTTTACGTGCATCCTTGATTACGGATAATATTCAAGGATGGGCTATTATTTTACTTGTTGTGTTGTCTATAATTGGATTGGCAACTTCAATAAGAATTGAGAAATCAGTTATTGATAATTCCGACCTCTTGAAATCAAATTCTTTAGGATGGCAACTACTTTACATCATGCCCGTTGCAGTCTCATTCGCGACACTTTTCCACGAGGTATCTAATGAATATTACATACATTTTTATTAATCTCTCTCTTCTTAACCTCGGCTCTTTTCTGCTTTTGTTAAGGGTTTCTGGCAACGCGCATTTTCATCAAAGAATGATCGTGAATTGCGTCTTTCCGCAGTTTATGGTTCAATTATGTTATTTCCTGTTCTTGTATTTCTCGGTCTCACCGGAATGATAGCTGTATGGGCTGGATTATGGCCAGGAGAGGAAAATTTAGAATCATATTTAGCATTTTTCACTTTATTTAAAGTATTACCAGATTGGGTTAGCGGAATTACTGTAGTGTTAGCCGTTAGTATGAGTTGTGCTGCTTATGATACATTAATTAGTGCGACAACAGCTAACTTTTCAAATGACATATTTAACAATCGTCTTCCATTGAATGTTACTCGTTTTTTATCACTTATTGCTAATGTTCCAGCTGGTAAGAAGAAACCCTTTTTTTTAAGTGATATTATTAATTTTTATTAACTCAATCCGTATTTTGGTAGTTTATTGGGGATTGAAAGATTTAGACGTGTTGAGAGTTTTTCTTATTGCAGATCTATTGGCAGCATCCACAATGCCTCCAATATTATTAGGTTTAATAGATTCGCTATACTTTCTCAACTGGATCGACGTATTATTGGGAGGCATAGGAGGTTTATTCGGTGTCTTCATCTTTGGTTCAATTTTCTATCATAATGCTAAAGACGGAATTGAATTAATTGGTCTACCTTTAGGGCTTTATATTACTGATTATAGTGTATTGGGAGCATTTATTGTTGCACCTTTATCTTCAATTTTCTTTACTTTCCTTTCTTTTGGTGTAAGATTGATTAGTATGTGGGTATTTACTAAAATTAGGGGAGAAGAGTTTGTGTTTCCCAAGAAGCCTGAAGTTGTTGATACTAAGAAATATGCTGGTAATAAATTTAAGGATGATACGGAAATTATTCAATCTTCTGACCCTGATGAAATAGAAATTAGAGGATAATTTAATTTTCTTCGCGAAAAGTGTATTTTAATCATCTAAAGAATATTTTATGTATTATTAATTTTATTTATTTATTCAATTATTTATTTTTATGACTATCGAATAAAATTATCAATCGAATTATTACATCGTAATTTCGATTTAGCAATATACTGTACAATTGACAAGTGAAAGCGCCACACAAGTATCTACATGAGTATACGTAACTTTCCGCTAACGCTAAGTCGTTCCATTAAATGTTCTTTTCGTAAAAGAAATAAATTATGATGTAAGATAATGAATAAGGTGGATCAAATATTTGTTTTTCAAAGTTTGAGAGAAAATAAAATTTTCTAATATATAAATAATTTAGGTTCTATTTCTTGCAAATTTTTTTTCTTTTTCTTTTTTCCTAACAAATGTTTTTTTTAAAAAAAAATTCTTTCATATTCTAATTGTATATATTTTATTTAAGGTCTATTCGGTGTTTGTTTTGTTTTTCTTTATTCACAATTTTGCTTGAAAAGCTGCAATTGGATCGGATATATTATATCAAAATTAATGAGATCAATAAAAGCAATCTCATGTTCATAATAAAATTAACGGAATTGGGGGATAACTGATATAACAACTGGGCAGGAAGGACTACGTAGGAATGTGGCAAGTGATCACACTTTACACGCTTAAATATGTCAAAGATGAATTAATCATAATAGTGAAGTATAAGCGTTTTTATAATGCTCGATACGTGTTCTTAATTAATAATATAATTTTAGGATTTGATACTAGAATTGACTTTTAAGAAGAAATATTTGAAATTTAACGAAAAATCATAGTGCATCCTATAGACCTGCAAAACCAAATAATCGATTAAACGAGATATATATATATATACAAATTAACAAATAATCTGCAATTAATTAATTATATTTTATTTTGATTAAAGTAGAGAATTTTTAATTTAAATTAAAATTTTTGACATATAAGGACCATCTAAAGTATAACCTAATTTTTGATAATATTTTCTTACGCCAATACCACTAATAACAGCTAATTTAGAACTACCGTGTTCAAACTTAGCAATTCTTTCAGCTTCCTCCATTAATAAAGTACCATACCCTTGATGTTGAAATTTAGTAGGATCTCTATTATGCATAGGTACAACACTACCATAAACATGTAATTCTCTAACAATAGAAGTAGGACAAGAAGTTAATTCGGGACGAAAGGTGGTCGAAGAACATTTTCTTAATCTTAAAAGACCTATTAAAATATCTTGTTTCGGATCTTCATATGATAAAAACGTTTCCCATCCACCATTTGCTACATAATCTCTTCTTATTAACTCAACCTCATCAGGTCTAACTTTATTATGAATATCAACAATACCAACTTCTCTCGTTCTAACATCCCTACATTCAATACCTAAATCTTTCATTCTATTTAATGCTAATTCACGTAAATTTCCATGTTCAACGCCGGAAGTTACTAATGGCATTGGAATGTCTCTTTGAACACGATATACTCTTGTCCATGGAGGTACCAAAGCCAATATTCTCGCCACTAAATCAACTAATGCGTTTGGAGTATAATTTTTGTATCTTCCCGTTCTCCATAATTCGTATAAACCAGTTCCACGAATTACCAAAGTAGGGTAAATTTTCAATCCATCTGTACGAAATGCTGGATTTTCAAAATATTCTTTAAATTGCTCCAAATCACGTTCCATTCCAACATTTGGTAAATCAGGCATCATGTGAGAAACTACCTTATATCCACAATCTTTTGCTAATTGAAATGTCTCTATAACAGCTTTAACAGTGTGACCTCTATTTGTGTCTCTCGCAACATCCTCGTATACACTTTGAACTCCAATTTCCAATCTAGTACATCCATATCTCAACATTTGACTTAAATGAGGTTTAAGACAATAATCAGGACGTGTCTCAATCGTGATCCCAATACATTTTGTCATGCTTTGCTCAGAATATCTTACAGACTCATCAACATCATTTGTTGTATGTCCCGATAATGCATTATGTAGATTAGCAATAAACCAATTTCTATAGTCTTCAGGTAATGACATAAATGTACCTCCCATTACAATATATTCAACTTTATCCACATTATGCCCGAGACTTTTTAATTGATCAACTCTTCCTCTTGCTTGTTCCAACGGATCATATCTTGCCCTTATAGCTCTCATACTAGTTGGTTCATATCCCGTATATGATTGTGTAGAATATTCGAAATCAGAATCTGGTCCTCCCGGACAATATACACAAACATTTCCTGTTACTGCAATATGTGGGCATCTATGTGGTTTACACATAACTGCTACTATCGCAATCCCTGAAGCTGTTCTAACGGGTTTCGCTTTAAGCTTAGGCAATAATGCCTGTTTATATTGTTCGGGTATAGCTGCTATAATATCAACTAATTTTGGTTGATTATTCAATTTATTCAAACGAGAATATTTAGTCTTCAATCCATTTAAGTTAACGTCTTTTGAATTCTCTTGCGCTATTATTAATTCATTAACTATTTCACTACAAGCTTTAACCATTAATTCGGCCTACACATTATAAATAAAAAATTAGTTACTAAACTATGAATGGTGAATAACGCAATAGAATGTTACTGCAAACCTGAGTTGGCCCTTTTTTGTTTTTTGTAGCCATAATTTGTTATATAGAAAAGAAAAAAACGAGATTTTTTTTTTTTTACAATACCATATTTACTGCGAAATCATGTGATAATCATGTGCATTATAATACCCTTAACTCTAAAGAACCGGCAAAATAAATCCGGATTGATCGAAAACAAACCCAAAATTTAATAACGGCAAATTTTTTATGTAATTTTATTAACATAATAATACAAGAGAAAAAGGACGAATTGTGTCAATTATATTATTGTGTTGAAAGATTAACTTATTGTTTATTGAAATAAACCCAATAAAGTAAAAAAAATAAAAATAGATTCTAATAATCTAATTTATAAAGATTGATTTTTTAAAAAAAATCTGAAATATTTAATAAAAAAATAAATAAAATTATATTTTTAAATCGAAGATTATAAAAGGTCTATGTATATCTTCAATTATGTGATAATCGTCCTCTCCCAATATCTAACATGTAATTCTGAAAAATGAAATAAATAAAATAAAATTTATAAGTTATAAATTACCTTAAATTTGGCAACTTTCTAGGTTGTTGTCATTGTATGATTCAATGCTTGTAAAAATTCGGGAAGAATATGTCGAATGTGTAGAATATGTAGAAGATGTAGGATGTATTGAATTTGTGCCGCTTCTACTTGAAGGTACTCTTGAAGGTATAGTCGTCTTATTTGTTTTATTTTTTTTATTTTCTTTATCCGCTTTTCTAATTTGTTTAATTAATTCACTCCGATTATTTGCTTTATTTTCAGATTCTCCTATCATTCCATGTAAAATGAATTTGAGTTCTCCTGCTGTTGGTCGGTTTGAAGGTTTTAGATCTATACATCTATTAAATAAATCCAAAATTAATTGGGGTACTGCAATATTAAATTTTAAATTTATTTCCCCTCTACAAACTTCAAGGCCAAAACTAAAATTCGAGATTATATCATGACCATGATACGGAGGTAATTCTGAAATTACTTCATACATAATAATTCCAAAACTATATATATCGCAAGCTTTAGTATAATTTTCTCCTCGTAGAAGCTCGGGGGCTATATAGTGTATCACACCATATATTTCATTTTTTTCAGTATTGGTATGATTTGCAGGTTTACATAATCCCATATCAGTTATACAAGTAATATCTTCGCGATCGTCGTGAATTAGTATGTTACCACTATGTAAATCTCGATGAATAAAATTTTCATGAATTAGGCTAAGTCCAAGTGCAATATTATGAAGAAGATTAATCTTGTTTTTCCATCTTAATTCTTTGCGATTCTTTTTAGATAAATAATTTCGTAAACTTCCATTCTCCGCATATTCCAAGACCATCATATAATTTTTTGATTCTGGATCTTGAGTTATTCCATATAACTTAATAATATATGCTGAATCAAGTTTCCTATGACATGTAATCTATGTGTATGTATATGTTATGTATGTATATATAATACATATAATATATTAAAGTTAGTATAAATTGGTGTTTTAAAAAATACACGAAATTTCATTAAATGATATACTCTACCTCGTTAATAAAATCAAATTTAACATCTTTTGAATTAAATAAACTTTTCAAAGCTATGAATTCATTTGGACGATTTCTATCCCAATCTTTTCTTTCATCATTCCATTCACGTATCCATCCATCCTTCCATTTTGCTTTATAGACTTCGCCAAACCCGCCTTTTGCAAGATATTTAATATCATAAAATCTTTCATGTGGCATCCACTCTAATACTTCATAATGTGCTTTTGCGGATAACTGAGCATTTTGAATAAATTTATCAATATCTTTATTATCGCTTGTCCAATTTTTAAAATTTTGTTTAAAATGTTTTGCATTACATATTCGACACCAATTAAAATCGGTGTTTGCTTGATTACACTTCGAACATTTTTCATATAAATCAAATTGACTCATTGTATTGGTTAGTGAACGTTATTAAGGTTTTTCGGGTTCATTCGTTAGTAAAAATTGAAAATTATATCTTTTATTTATACATAAAACCGAAAACGAAGATCATGCATTGCAATACGTCATGCAGCAAATGTTGGTTTATCGTCTTAATTTTCATGAGATAATCTTCGTGATTATGCTTAAACTGTATGATTAATTCATTATTAAATTAAAAAATATATAATGTAGTCCAGAATTAAAATTCTTTTGAAATAGGAACGCCCACCGTATAATCTGTATTTCTTCTTTATCTATTTCCTGAAATAATATGGAGGCTTTTGGTGTGGAAATCCATGAAAGAGTTCTAAGCAGATATCATTCTCCCTTTTATAAAAGCGATTATGCATATGCCAGTAATTGTTATATTTTTATGGTATTATGCATAAAATTTCTAATGAAAATCGTAAATATTTTAGTCCTAATTACATTATGTACTGTGTTGTGTGCATGCATAATAATATGAATATTATGAAATTTTTTGTCAGTTTAAAAATAAAGATCACCGAATTTTGATAGTACTATATATGGTTTAATAGCTACTTGTTTTTTTTTTTAAAAGTATTGTAATTTGTAATGTAATTTGTAAACATATTTTAATTGCTTAGAAAAATCCTTATATAAATAATTCTCGCAATAAAGTTTGACTGGTTAAAATTTTAATATTAGATTTCGGCAGACATGCTTGAATTCAGTATCGACAATGTAACAATATGTATCAGAAGAAAAGGCTGAAAAAACTGAAAGTTTAAGAATTTCATTTAAATGATAATAAATATATATATATATATATATATATTTTGTAAGAAAATATAGACTTCGACCGGAATTAACATTCCTTTGAGAACGCTCATCATGCAAGCTGTGTAATGTCTGTATTTCTCCTACAGAAAGCATACTAACTATTGGCGTAGCATATGTACGCCAGCAATTGTTATATTTATGATATTATGTATGTACATAATAATACATATTACGAGATTTTATTCTTTATAATATGACAAACACTTATCAAATTTACACAGTTATTTTAAAGTTTAAAGAATGAATGTTACCTAATTATTCTTTGTTTTAATAAAGGTGCTGTAAATTGTAATCATATTTAGCTGCTAGAAGTCCTCCTATGAATATTTATATATAAAAAGAAAAAATAAAATTCTTGTATTAATCTGACTAATCAACATATAAAATATCTTTTTTGTGCCTAATCAATATTGGAGATTTTGGGAGACATAAATGCTTGGATCCGTAACAAATGCTGCAATATTATTATTAATTATGTATCGAAAATAAGTCTGAAATAAAGAATTCAGTTGAATGATAAATATATTGTATAATAAAATACGAAATTCACAGGAATTAAATTCCGTCATTTGAAGATTTGCATTACCGACTTGTTCGACATCAATTATAATCGGTTTTTCTTGATTACACTCCAAACATTCAAACATTTTTTTTATTATGTTATTTCGGATTTATTCGTTAGTACAATTTGAAATTATTATTATATGCGCTAATCTATAACTTAACAACCTAACTCTAATTTTTGAGACCTAAATTTGTGGGCCAATCATACCGACAGTCAAATCACTTGACGCTACGGTAACACTAATCTACGGACAACGAGAAAAGACATAAATAAATACGATACTTAGTCTTATTGAATTTGTTTTTTAAAAAAATATCCAAGTTAAAGAAGGGCACCTTTATTTGTGAGCAAGAAGTAACCGGTTGCACTTTTCTCGAAACGACAGAAGAAATGTTTGGATTGAAAGGAGGACCAGCGAAGGTTCCCGCAAAGTTTACTAAAGAATGTGTGAAAAAAAGGAAAAGACCGTATTCTTCGTATTAAGACTTTAACGGATTTACGCAGTGTCTTAAAGAGATTTAGGATTGATAGTAACAGTCCTTCCGACATTCAATTTACACCGTCTTCTTTGCTAATGGTGATGTAGAATTGCGCAACATGGGAACTTTAGTTTTTGATGGCAACGAGGCAATGCGTAACGAGTACATTTCATCAATTCTTCATGCTGCACCTCATATTGTCAGGAGAATAACTAGTAAAGAAATTAATTTGCTTCTCCAACTTGAAGTTGGGAGTGATGGAATGTTGATTATGTAATAAAGTCACATGAAGAACTTATTCAATACTCGATTAATATAGGTTTCATTCAAAATGTATCCAATGTGTAAGTGCCCTATAAATTAACAAGAAGGGTGTTGCTTTTGGGGATTGTGAATACCTTTATGGTTACAACAGGCGACAGAGTAGTATTTTTTATACAGTTCAAGAAAATTTTATGTACAAGTAATAATTCAATCAATATCAGGTTTTCCAAAATTCAGAGTTATACAAAAATGTAAAACGGGTGTTAGAGGTTATTATTGGTTTATTGAAAGATAGGTTGAGATTAAGAAATCACAAAAAACAGTTTATAAAAATGAAGATCATGCATTGCAATGTGTATACGTTCTTGATTTTCATGAGATAATAATGCTTAAACTGAATACAACATTACGGATGTATGATTGATTATATAGTATTAGAAGAATTACTTAATTTATTATTGAATTAAAAAATATACAATAGTTCGAAATTAAAATTTCTTTGAAACGGGAACGCCCACTATATAAGCCGTACATTATCAGAATTTATTTATAGAAATCCATGAAAAAAAGGGTTCTGAGCTAAGCGATTAAAGTTAAATTCGCTTTTTTCTGGCGTTACTGTATTATTATCGATTTTGTGAAAGTCATAAAATAAATGTGAAAATTATGCATTGCAAGTAATTGTTATTTTGTTATGGTATTATTGAAGCATAATAATACAATGATATTTGGTCTTTATGTACTGTATGTTATATATGGTTAGTATAGTGCATGCATAATATTTTATTTTTTGAAAACGCTAACTTTAATATATAAATAAAGATCAGAAAATTCCACAGTAATGTAGTTTTTTTTTTAAAGTGGATTACCCTTTATTAATATACATTAAATTAATGTATACCTTTTGGTGCTCGGTTTTTTTTTAATAAATACACCGCAAATTGTAATCATGTATCAAATTGCTTGACTTTTATAAATAATTTAACTGAAAAGAAATAAACTTTTTTGGAACGTTCACTATATATTGGCCTGTACTCTTCGCATAGAAATAAAAGAATTCTTTGATATGTCTAAGTTTGAAATCCACATGCAGGAATTGAAAAATTTCTGGGACAGACATCCTAAAGCGTTTCTTTCAGGACAATCATTCTCGCAACTTTCATGCAAAGGACGGAAAGAATTGTCAATAATTTATTTCCACCTCGCAAAAGCTATTATTGAAAATAGTGATAGTAATACAACAAAAGAAAATCAACTTAAAGCTTTGGATTACCTCAACACGTCTATTAGTTTAGATGCCATATATAATAGTAAAGCTTACATTATGATTGCAAAGATATATGCTGCAATTGGCAATCCAATATGTGCGTATGCTAATATTTTAATTGCTACGGTATTGATAAAGACTGATCAGGATGCCAAATTCTTTATCCAACAATGTAAAAAGCTGCCTTTTCCGCCTCCGCAAAAGATCTGGTGTAGCGATGAAGACGTTAATGAATTATCACTCCATTGGTTACGCGAAGACAAAGTTTTGATTCTTAGACCTGGTACATATACAGCTACTTTTCCTATTTGTGAAAAAAGCGTTGTGATCATAGGAATCGGTAATGTGACGATCAAAAACTATAAAAAACCTACAATTTTTGGTGTTAATAGTAAACTTATACTATATAATATTAATATTGAATGTACTGAAGGACACTCTTTACAAATGATAGCATCCCAAGTTTTTGTAATAATTGTTGGTTTACTAAATGTTCTGGTACAGCACCTCCCATTTGCATTTGTAGCAAAGCAACACTTTCTATGGACAAATGTGTTGTTGCCAATTCGACAGGAGACAATGGTGGTATTTTAATAGCTAATGATAGCAAGGCCAAGATCACAAATTGTAACATTTATAATATAGGATTGAGTGCACTTGAAGTGCGACATGGATCGAGTTTATATGTTGAGAATAATGAAATTCATCACAGCAGTAGAGGTGTTACGGCATGGTTAAACGCTAAAGAAATCATTCTTATTAATAATGATATCTACAACAACCTTTCAGAAGGAATTTTGGTCCATGGATACCGTGAACCAGCATCATCAAAAGAATTTAATAAATTTCTTCACGACTATATTCATGATTCCTTCGGTGCATCTATTAAGCCACCTCCCCCTAGAGATTCTTACACAAAACCTTCACAAACACTTGCTGTGTTACAAAATAATCGAATTTTGAAGAATGGTTCTTTTGGTGTTAGCGTAGACTTTGGAGCTAATGTGCGAATGGAAAACAATGAAATAGCAGATTGTATTACTTCCGGATGTATTATCAAAGGAGGTACAGATGCTGATATTTTAAATAATAATATTCACAATAATAGAACATATGGTATTGAAGTTGGCGTAAACTATCATGGAAAAGTGGTTATAAAAAATAACAGTATTCATTCTAACAAGAGGGGAAACATTACCTGCCTAGCTCTAGTTGAAATGATCGATAATGAAATTGGAGTTGATTATCTTGATGAATCAAATGATCAAAATTTTATTAATTTTAACATCTCTTCTAATCGACCAGGAATTCATTTATTTTATGAAGAGTCACTTCTCTATGCTATTAGTAATACATATGGTTTCAATCTATTAAAAAATTTCACCACAAAAGTGACTTCAACAACCGGAACAACTATTTTTGACAAAAAAATATCAATATTTTTAGGTGGCATTAATGATTTATCTAATATCGTTGAAACAGTATATGACCTTACAATGTCATTAGAAAGCCATACTAACTACTACAACATCAATCTACTTTTTACAATCAATAATTTCAATCCGATAGTGCTTTCTCGTAATTTAGTACTTCTTGAAATGATCAATAGATTACCAGACCCAAAGCCACCATCCTCATTAAACGAAAAGGGTATATATGGTCAATGGAATAAAAATTTTGTTATCGGTGTAATGGAAATATTGTCAGTATGGGCTGAAAAAGTTATTAGCGATGATACCTATAATAATTTGAATAGTTGTATACATAGTCTAATTGAATCTCTTGAAAATAAAATAAATATAAAAACTAATAAATGCAATAACGATAGTTCCAATAAGAAACTTCCCTCTTGGATTTCATTTAAACATTCATCAAATACAGAATTTTTTATATTACAAACGTTACAATATTGGAAAAATAATTCACTCTCAGCTTTTGCTCTGAATTGGGACGCCAATCATTTATTCAGTTATACAATGGATAGAAAATTTTCACCAGAAATTGAAATATTAAGAAACCTTAAAGAACGCTATTACGTGGATGAAGATATTAAAGAATATGCTTGTTGTCAGCTACCAATTAGTAATCAAGCTCGATCTTACATTAATGTATATTCTAATACACTTGATAAGCCTAATGTCACAATGTTAACCGTTCCAGCAATGGAATATAATGTCTCCCCAACTTCTTGTATATTTCGTACATTTCAAGTCAATACTGAAAATAGTGAGGATTCAGATGATGATGATGATGACCAACCGTTAACACTTTACGATTATTTATTATTGACTTTACTACCAAAGCTTGCATCCTTACGTGCATCATTACATAAAACTTCTTCAGTTCAGATTCAAGTAAAGCCAGTTTTGGGAGATATCATCGACACACTACTCTGTCGATTACCTCCATCTGTGAGATTCAACGCTATTGACTGCTCAAATTTAGCTGATCATGTATCACTCCTGAATATAATCTTTGCAGCTGCACCTAAATTAAAGGATAATTCTCAATTGACTCTGCAACTAATAAAGGTGCATAATCCGTCTGATAATTCTATGAAAAAATTTGTTGAACAACAACTTGGTTTAAGTCTAAATATTCTTTCAAAATTAACAGGCATTACGTTTGTAAATGCTTACTCTAAAGATTATGCTGTATATGTTACATGGAAATTTGATATAGCCAAAGATAAAGAAGAAAAGCTTGATACATTAATTAATGGTGTGATATCAGTTGCAAGTGCTTGTTGTACTGCTCATAACAAACGTATTTATGGACTCAGTATTAATATAATTGTACGTTTGTTTCAAATAATGAATATTCGATTTTCTGAAGAAATAATGGCACAATTATTACAATCCCTTTTTACATCTAAGGGATTTAATAAGTATATTCCAAATTTTGCAATGCACCTTGTTGAGTTGAAGACTTTTATGACATTGCATTTTTGTTTGCCCTTTGTTTCGAAACTTAAGGAACTTAATGATTTAAAAGTACCTATTGCGAGATACTCTTTGAAATGGGAAACTAATAAGATAGTTAAGGAAAAAATGCACACTCTTGGTTGGTATTTCGGTAAACATAGGAAAACAGTATGTCCAAAAACAGAGATGATATGGCTACGATTAATTAAACCTATCAAACCTATCACTCATACCAGCAATTTCACAACAAAAAAAAATAAACGCAACAATTATACTTCAAAAAATCGAGAGCCAAATTATTATTACTTCGATAGTGTTTCCATAAGTTCTATAAAGGCACCTACAATAATGATATCGTTTCATCTTCCAATTCCATTCTATGATAATCATAAAGACTGGATTTTAGAATTTAATATAGGTTCAAGAGTAATTCTTTCATCCGCAGAGATGATAACCTTATCCAAGGTGACGCAGAAAAATGTATGTCATAATATGTGGGATAGTGAAACCGAATATAAAGAATATGATGAAGTAAATGTATGCAAGCGATGTAGAAAGTATACTACAAAAATATGTTCAAAGTGTAAATCAGTGTATTATTGTAGTAAAAATTGTCAAGAAGATGATCTGAAAAGACACAGTAAAGTAGACTGTATTAAAGTCTCAAGCGGAATGTAAAATATTGTTAAAATAGGAACGTCATGATTGAAGTAAATTGTTAGTTAATTATTAGTATATATTTTTTTGCAAAGCGATGCTTTATGTTTCTCTTTTTTTTAACATGAAAATAAAATAAATTTTATTGATTTTTTATTATTTCTTATTTAACAATAGTAAATAAATTATTATGGATTTTTGGACCAGATGAATTAGCAAACAGGTCAAATCGAACTTACGATCAAATGAGTAAAAATTACATTAAGATAACTATCTTGAATAAATATTACTCAGTTACGTCTATGACTCATGTTCTTGAAAAAAATTATTTTATTGATGATCACCGGAGAATCAGGTGACGAAATAAATAAGATGAGATGTGACAAAACATTTACGCGTTCGAATTTCAAATATAATTATGATTCCATTCCAATGATTCAAATTGCATCATCATTATAAAAAGCTATAAAAAGTTATAAAAAGTCTCAAAGTTACTTGTTTTCACTTTAACTTTTCCTATTCACTAACTTTCCTATTCACTCAACTTATTCCTGTTAACCTCAACTTAACCTCAACTTTTCCTGTTATAAACCTCAACTTTTCCCGTTAACCTCAACTTTTCCTATTAACATGTTTTTTCTTAAATATGGTCTTGATATTCTTGTCGATAATACTCAACTTTCAGAATTTAGTGACCCTGTAAAAGATTGTAGAGAGGTTTTTATTAATTATTTTATTATTTATTTATTACTGTTTACTGTATTAATATATCTCAAATATTAATATATTTTTACTTCTCTTTAAATAGTATGTTTCGACAACTCCTTCATATGTTCGTCATGATACGGGCAAAAAAACTTACAGGTACGTAGTTATATTTCACTTTGAATGCAATAATGAATATATATTTATTTAAACTCATCTCTTTTTGTATATTTTATCTACATAGTACTCATAATTGGTTTGTATCAGTACCCAAATCTGGATTGCAATTTTCAATCAGGATTTGGTCATGTGTTGCCACACGAAAAAATCCAATATTGGCTGTCGTTTTTATCGACGGAATGAGTGACTTCATCCTACATTTATTAGATTCTAATTCCGTTGAGAGAATCGATACCTTTACGGATAAAGATAACAAGAAGAGTTATTTTTTAAAGTTTAATCCCACTTTATGGATCGATGGAAATGACATGAGAAATTCAGCGAATAATTTATCTGAAAGTCATTCTAAATTTGGCGGAATGGGTTGTGTTTCTGTTTACTTTTACAAGGCTGTAAGAGGGCTCAAATCCCCTGAAATACCCAATTATACTCTTCAACAAATTCCCTTAAATGAGAATAAAGGGCCAATACATGGAATCAATATAACGACTGCCTTTGTTGAAAAAACTGGTTCATTAATGGGTCAAACTCATACGGAACCTTATATTGGCTGGAAGCCGGATGGTCAAGCTTTAGCCGCCCTACATCTTCACTATCGACCTACTTACTGGTTGAAACTAAGCGAGATAATTCCGGAATCTTTATTTTCATATCAAAAGTTAAATTGGTATCCTGAAAATGCGAACAAAAAAAATTCTCATTTAGAATATAATCACAATTCATCTCCGTCAGATCAACTTCGTTCTGTTAAAGTGGAAAAATGTACTGAACATCGGGATTCTGATGTACAAACTCCTCAAGATAAAATATTTGACATAAATTTATTATATACCGAAAATTCGGTTAACGTTGTTAATTCTTTAAGTAATCCATTAGTTCCTAATTCATCGTTCAAGCAGGAACCCTCTAATATCGAATTTCAAAAACAAGGCAAAAAATCTGATATTAATGATATTGAAATCAAAGTTGAAAAAGTTAAAAATGAAGATAAGTCGAATGGAAAAAGAATTGAAGGCAAAGGTGTTATTCACACTTTGGGAAAAAGAGAATCGATGAATACCAATGAAATCATTGATTTATCAAATAAGAAATCTTGTAAATGGGTTGCAATTAAATGTGAAAATATTTGATTTTATAACTTTAGGTAGTTTTTTTTTTATTTAATAAATTTTTTTTTTTAATTCTACAATCCCTTTCAAGGTTACGTTACAAATAGTTTTCTTAACTATTATAAATCTAAAAAATTACATCAACATATGTAATTTGTGTGGTAAATATTGAGCCGACGTATGAGGTGTGTCATCTGTCGTAATTCGACAAATTCTGACGATCACTGTGGGTGCTAAGGCCTTTTGTGCTAGACCCGAATATCATTAGCGCCAGATCTATATAATAAATGTTAAATAAACATCTCTCTTATGACGTAATCGTGAATTCTATCAACAAATATATATAAAAGCCCACTTTCCCTTAATTAAACAAACTTGGATATAAAATAAATGAAAATTGCCAAAGTACATTTGGTAATAAATCAAAAAAATGACAAATAGAAGCACAAATAACATAAATTCAAATGGTCATTCTACTCAAACAAGATCAAAAAATAATATACCAAACGAATTTGAATTGGAATATGTTAATGAAGAGCATGTTAAAGCATTCTTTAAAGCACTTTCAGAAGATCCTGAATCAGATCAAACAGAACATATTGCAGCAGTAACAGATTTTATGCCAATTCGTCAAAGAGTAAAAAAGAAGAAAAGAATCCCTGGCGAATTTGAGGGTTATTCGTACCATATCGTTAGGTATCCTTTGATAGTAAGTTATTCAAATGACGATCTTTACCGTTTACTGTTGTGTAACATCATTTTTATAAATACAAATTTTTATTATATATATAGTTTATTATTTTCTCGATTATTCTTTTCGAAGTATTGTTTTACATTTTGATTCGGCAAATCGTTAATTTTTGGGAATATTTTTATCAATGGTAAAATTTTGATTATTAAATAATAATTTTGACATGTATGTATCTTTGTAGCTATCAAGTAAAACTAATGTTTCTTTTTAAAATTAAGGCGAGGAATAAGTCGAATCTTACGAGAAGTAATGCGTAATACCAACAATTATGAGGAGTGGATTGAAGCTGCAAAACAACTAGATTCCTATTTTAAATATGATGAATGGAAAAAGGAAATTCCATTTGGATATTACGATTATAACCTATTAAAAAAAGTCAATCGAGATTTGAAATCTTTACGTCAAGAAGAAACTAACGAAAATTTACAAAAATTGAAAAATTTACTTCAAGATTGTGTCAAGAATAATTATGCTGGGGTAGAAAATACTAGATTATATTCTCATTCTTATTATGGAACAAAAAACATTATCGAGGAATATGTTGATAAAGGTTCGTTATCTACATGTAAAAGTACAATTTTCCACATGAAATTAATATTATCTTTATCTCTTACGCACCCTTTTAGTAACCGAATCTCTTGAGTTTGCAAGAAACACCAAATTATTATCAATTAAAGATAAACTTGAACTCCTTAAAAATACTTACAAAAATTATGGACGCACAGCGCTCTGTCTTAGTGGCGGTGCTAGTTTTGGATATTATCATCTAGGTGTTGTAAAAGCTCTTTTTGATGCAAACCTTTTACCAACTGTATTTACTGGAACTAGTGCAGGTGGATTGATTGCTGCATTGGTTTGTGTAAGAACTGATGAAGAGCTGGAACAAGTATTGACTTCTGAATTAAATACGCGCCTAACGGCATGTTCTGATCCAATTACTACTTGGGTACCAAGATGGTGGAAAACTGGCGCTAGATTTGATGCATGTGATTGGTCTCGGAAACTTCAGTGGGTTACTAAAGGAAGTTTGACTTTCATGGAAGCATATGAAAGAACAGGAAGAATTTTAAATATTTCGGTTATTTCCTACGATCCACACTCTCCCCCAAAAGTCTTGAATTATATAACTGCACCTGACTGTGTTATTTGGTCAGCAGGTAAAAAATTATAAAAATTTTTTCAGTATTTTTAATGTTTTATATTAAAAAGATCTTTTTATGTTAGTTATCGCTAGTGCTGCCGTGCCTGGTATATTAAATCCTGTTGTATTAATGCAAAAGTTGAAGAACGGTTCAATTGTTCCATATAACTATGGTAACAAGTGGAAGGATGGATCTCTTCGTACAGATATTCCAGTTCAATCTTTGCATATGCATTTCAATGTTAAGAACACCATCGTTTCCCAGGTTAATCCACATATTCATCTTTTCTTTTATGCTCCTCGTGGCTCAGTTGGTAGACCAGTAACCCATCGTCGTGGAAAAGGTTGGCGAGGTGGTTTTTTGGTTGCTAGTATTGAACAATTTTTGAAATTAGACTTAAGTAAATGGCTCAAATGGATACGTGACCTTGAACTTTTGCCAAGAGTTGCTGATCAGGATTGGAGTTCCATTTGGTTACAAAAGTTTGAAGGAAACATAACAATATGGCCTCATTCGAGCTTTTCGGATTTCTTTTATATCTTAAAAGATCCAACTCGTGAGCGACTTGAATCGATGATTACATCTGGTCAGCGAGTAACTTGGCCAAAATTGCGTATGATTTCAAATCGTCTTAGAATTGAAAGAGCAATTCAAAAAGGTCGTGAAGAACTTCGACGAGAGTTACGTAGGCAAAGATATCCTGGTGTTGATAATCAGAGAAAGGGCGATGATCGAAGAAATAATATCGATGAACTTCAAGATTATAATACGAGTAACGGTGATGACAATGACAAACACTTGGAAATTGAGAAAGTTACAGATATAGGACCTAATAGTGACTATAGTAATTCTTTGGAATCATCATCTGATAATATTTCTTATATTTCATCTACATCTGATGAAGAGTATCATGAAGGTCAAGATGATGGTCATAAATTTTTATTATCTTCGAATGATCCTCATATTGCTAATTGAATTCATGTTGGAAGCTTTTGAAAGATACCAGAATGTGTATAGTGAAACCCCAAAATATGCCAAAGTGGAAGTCAGGAATGATGATCAAAGTAGGAAAAATGTATATATAAAAAGATCAAAAATTCTGGAATGACAAATTAAAATATAGGATTGGAAATATTATACATGGAAACATAAATCACCATTGTATGATATTTGAGGAAAGGGAATTAAAATTTATTTTACCATTTGAATTAGAGATCGAATTGGTAAATTTCGAATTCGAAAGGATAATGAAGATGTTATTATTGAAATATTATTTATTTAAGAACTTTTATGTAATAAAAAAATTCGAATTTCATTAATGACGTAATAATTTGTTCACAAGTGTTACAATGTAACGACGATCCAATGATCAACTGCATGCAGATCAGAATATTTTTCTCACCTATTTTTTTTTTAAAAAAAAATTTATACTTAAAATGGAGTTGCAGCATAGGTTTATTTCCATTCAGTCTGTTCATAAAGTGATTCAGGCGATAATTGTAAACCCCGGATCAGCTGATACTCATCCAAAGGGTACAAGTGAGCCTTCGCAATTGGAAAAGTTTTGGTCTTTTGTTATATCTCCGTCTGAAATAACATCCTCTAATGCCGTCAATAATATTACTTTGCTTGTACAATCGGGAGCTATTTCTTGGAATGACGCCTTGAATAAGTTAACAGATTCATTGTCAACTCTCTCAGGGGTTCAACTTGATAATGTCATAATAGGAATTACCAATATTTTGTTATATCAGGTGGATACTCAAACTGATTCTTCATTAGAATATAATTGTCCATTTAGAGTTCGTGGTGGAATGACACATCCTTATATTCTCATTATTTCAACAAAAACAAACGAATCTTGGTCATTTTTACTTACACAAATTGAAAGAATTTTTGATATGTCAAGACTTGAATTTATTAAATCTAAAACTCCAGAAAAAAGATCCGCATTTTTGCGAAATATTTTAAACATGATCCACCCATTTTTGGATTTCATTATTTTAGATGGAGTTCAAGGTAAATTTGAACTACAAAAATACTGGACGTCTACTTTGGTGCATTTTCTCATTCAAATTGTGTATCAAAATATTGATGATAAAGAATTTATTGAATTAAGAGAACATGCGTTGAAATATTTGCTCTCAATTATTCAAAAAATTCCACTTTCATCTATTACTTCGTATATTAATTATGATGTTAAAAACAGTACATTATATTTATTAATACAATCATTTATTAATATTATGGAAACATCTTATATCAGAAATAGTTTTTCGCCGTTTTTTTTGAAAGAATTTAGTAATGCTTTGAGTATTCAAATTCTTTCTATAACATGTGATTTACATAGATCCAGTTTATCTACAAGTCATTATGTGAATTTACTTTTTAAGATACTGAAACTTCATTATAAGTTTTCGGATATGATTTCAATACCAAATTTTGTAATATTATGGCCATCGTTAATTTTTTTACTATCAGATACTAATTCATGTGAAAGTCAATCTATTATTCTTGAAATTATACAAGAAATAATTGATACGAAAATAAATGAATCAGATAAGCAAAATATAAATCCAGAATTAATTAATATAGCAATTTTACCTTTGTTTCAGGTAATAGCTGATTCAACACAACATAAAACAAGGAGTATTGCTATGGAAATCCTTTTAAATGTGCAGAAATTACACGGAATTCAAAGAATCTCTGCTTCTAATCAAAAGATTTTAAAAGAGGTATGTATCTTTTTAAAAATGTTATTCTTAATAATTATTTATATTAATCATAACTTGTATAACTTGTAATAGATTTCAGAACTGTCATCTTCAACATTTATTACCGGAACTCTTGTGGAAATATTATCTGAGACATATAATCTTTTAAAAAATTTTCCTATTTCTTCCGACATATTTAGAATTGATAATCCAAAATTACCCTTTGCCCCTCTTTTCCATATTTCCTACTTGTTTCATAATAAGGAAAATATAAGAATTCAGGCTTTAGATGCTATTATTTCTTTAATAGACGAAAACACTTTATTGGCTCAATCAAAAAAGTTTCCAATATTCTTATTATTACTTTTTATTTTAAGAAACGATCTTTCATCCTCGATTCATCTTCATATTTTACATCATTCTTTACCTTCATTGGTTTCTCCCAAAGATCCAATTATAACCACGAAAGTTTTGAAATTTACAATGAGCCTTACTCAAGATAAAAGCACAACAAGATTAGAAGCTATAAGGATCAGAGTTTTATATAAACTTTGGTTAAGGCAAAGAAGGTGTTGGAAGTCATTGAGATTTATTTTGAGTGATTGGGTTAGAAATAGAAAGCTTCAAGTTGGTGAAAATACGAAAAGTGTATCATTTGAAGTTGAAGTAGCAGCTTTAACTACGATGAGGTAAAATTTAATTTATTCTTCTTATATTCTATTTGTTATTTCCTTTTTCTTTAAAAAAAGAAAAATAAATAAATAAAATGAATTATTTTAGAGATATTTTCAAGACTAAAATGAGGGAATATACAGAAGAATTAGTTCCCTTCATATCAAATCTACTTCAATCTGTAGTTTTACATCCGAATAGTTTATGTTTGATAATTGAATCTTTGAATTTATTTACCGAAACTGAAATTATAGATCCTCGAGCAAGTATGAATTTGTAATATATTTTTATTAGTATTGTTTTTCTCTTGCATTAAACACTTATTATGTTTTCTTTACAGTATGGAGTGTTTTGATGTCGTATATTGCTGATTCAGTGATGAAAAGCAATAATTTAGATGTGCAATTAATTGCCAGGTTATGCCGTTTTTATCAACTTGTGGCACAAATGGGAGATGGTATTTCTTGCTTATTATTAAAATGAAGTTTAAAAAATTTTGTAATTTTACTAAAGAAATTTTTACATTTAGACTTTATCGTAGATAGTGATTTATATAATGAAGCTAAACATGACATATTATCAAAATATTTATGTCCGTTGATTTTTCCAAATTATTTATCTAGTATTTCTAATCAAGAACAAGATGAAACTAATATAAACGATTTAGATCGTTTCCAAATTCAGTCTAATGCACAAATCTTGAAACATGGATTAAGAGCAATAGCTCAATTTCAAGCAAAAGAAATTTTATCCGAATATTTTCCAGGATCAAAAATATTGTTGGTTCAACTCTTAAACACGAATGCAAATCCAGATATAGCCAAAATCGAGGAATGGAAACTTGTGTTAAGTAAGCTTATTTCTCATGAAATAGATAATATGAGACGTAGTTTGTTCAAAGGTGTCGATGCATCCGGTGGTGGTGCTGGTTCTTCTGGATCTGAAAGTAAGGATTTCTTAGAGTTAAAACAAAGGTTAACTTTGATTCGTTCAAAAATTGTTGATGATTGGGAGAGTGGAATAGTAAATCCTGGATTAAGAGTTGGATTTGCTCTTGCTTCGTTGTTGTGTTTTAGACCTCCTATAAATGAAGAAGTTAATGATAAACATTTGAAGTCTACTAGATTTTATAAATTACTTGCCAATGCAATCCAAGATGTTACATTAACAGATCATTGGATAATCAGAGTTGGATGTGTTTCTAAATGGTGTAACTTTTTTGTTATGGGTTTACAAGAAGTTTTACCAAAAACAAATAAGAAAGGTGATAATGATGTTGAAGAAAACATTGTTAAATCTTTAATAGAAGATATAATGAAACGGTTAAATGACGCAAGATTTCCTGCTGTTTGTCAGAATTCTATTTTAGCAATTACAGGCAAGTTGAATTCTTAGTCAATCCTTATGTACTCAATCTAACTTTATCCTCAAATTTTATGTGTTTAGGTTTATGTTTGGCATTAAAATCATTTAATATCATGTCATTACAACATCATGCAACAATAATTATTCGACATTTATTAGACAACTTTTTTGTTGATGCCGCGTCAGTTTCTAAGCAGAATCAAGATAAAACAAATGACGAGGTTCAATTCAGCGTAATGATGGCTTTAGGCCACTTGTCTACCTTAGTTATGACAGATGAAAAGTTAGTTAGCGAAATTATTGATAATTTAGTTATGAAATTAAGTGAAGTAGACGAGAGGTGAGTTTCATAAACATCTTAATGTTATTTTCTAAAACAGAAGTCTAAATGTTGAATTCATCTTTTATAAAGTGCCATGTCAGGATGGACGTTATTTGGAGCAGGATTTTCTCTTGGAGTTCTTTTGTCTCATCTTGCGTCGTCCCCAATAAAGATATCTAATGTTTGTTCTCAAACGATCACTTTTCTTGCTGATTTCCTATCTTCACCATTATTGTCTTATAATCAAACAAATACGCCACAAATTAATCCTGCTTTTGGTGTCTTACTCGGATTATCAAATATTGATCGCGAAGAAGAAGAAAAAGCAGAACAAATTTATCAAAAATGTTTATCAGATTTAAAAGAATTTGTAAATAGTGGAGGTAAAATAGATGAAAATATCAAGAGTACAATTGCTGGTTCTGCGTGGTTTGTTGGTTTTTCCAGAGGCAAAGGATCTGACGAAGAGATTTTTGAAATTGTTGATATCTTTGAAAAAGCTATAAAAATTGCAGATACTGAGGTAAAGGTTTTGAAATTTATTGTACATGTATTTTTTTTAAAAAAATAAATGTATTAATATACTTTATTTTTGTGATTAGTATGAATGGACGGGATATTATTTCCATTTTTCGCAAGTGTACTCTCATATTTTACTATCTGTTCTTTCAATAAAAGAATCATCCCGCTGTCTTTCTGCGTTTAATTCTCAAGTGCGTTTACAAATTGATGTTTTAACATCTTCAAACGCTAATATGACAAAACGTCATGCTGCAATTATAACTTTAGGATCTTTATTTGGCGTAAAATTTTTTTCTTTTTCACAAACTACAAATTCATTTTTCCTTAATTCGTCTTTCTTGACGATGATGATACAAGTTGTAGATATTTTGCAAAATATCGCTGGACTTGGTCAGCAATCTATGAGTGATGTAAAAGGTGGAAGACTAGCCACAGTTGTTTTGGCTTGTTTAATGCAAGTTATAGAGAAAATTTCGGAAATAGGAAACGAATTTATAGAATCAAATAGCTCGGAAGCAAAAGATTATTCAAGGTTACCGGCAACAAGTTATTTAAGGGCTCTATTTGATGAACTTGTTGAAATTTCTCGGAGTAATTTTCTTTTTTTCCGTTCTTTTTTGATAATTTTCAATTTAACTAACTTATTTGTTATTACTATTTTTAGAAGGAAATATCGCATCCTTAGCATCAGTTGAATTTGGCAGCTCGATCATTAAATCTTTTTCAACTGTAAACTTGGTACTACCTTCAGTTAATTGGTTTCCTCCTCTTAAAAAATTTAATACTCCGTTTTTTAAAAAATATAATTTACATTATCAAAGTGTTTTATTGGCTATTCGACATTGCGATCATTCAACTTCATTAATTGAATTTCTTTTATATGCATTGAATGGTCTTCCGGAAATACTAATGAGTGAAGATGATGGATTTAATGATATGGGATATGGAAAATTGCTTGTTGGTGAAGGACTTGGTAAAGTTCTAGAACTTTGTGGATTTGAAGATAAAAAAGTTAACAAAGGTGATCAAGTAATTACAAAACTTATTCAAAAGCGAGGTATGGAAAAAATTATGAAAAAAGTATTTATACCAAATTCGAGGATATTTAAAATTATAAATGAAATAATAACGTGCTTATTTGATAATATTGAGAAGTTAGGAAATCCAAAGATTGAGGTAAAAATATACTTTATGGTTTTTGAGATTTTTTTTTTTTTTGAATTTGTATTCTTTGTAATAACATTAATTTAATTTTTTTAGGAATTACAAATTAATTTTCTTACAACGATGAATGATTATTTGACTACAACAAATATGAGTAATGCATCATCTGCTGCTATAACACTTCAGCAAGATTTGCTTGCTTTATTAAAAAGTGCTTATAATGCAATACCATCTCCAACTTCCCAAACACAAGCATATGTTATTCGTCTAGCAGTACAAATTTGTAGCAATATCGATGATTTTTCAACAATCTCTCTCCCCCCACCTAAGAATAATGACGAACTTGGAAAATACGCACTTACTATAAGTACCATGTCTGAGTTAGGACGTATAGATGCAACTAAATATTTTACACAATTATTAGAGAAATGCTTGAGTACCTTTGGTATTATTTCAGAAGATTCGCAAAGTGTTATGACACCATCTTTATCATTTTCGTGGATTCTTCGTGCTATTCATGTCCATATCTATAAATTTAATAATAAAATCGAGAAAAAAGTGAAGCTAGATTGGTTAATAAGGATATTAGATGTTTTGATAGTCGTAGCAAGTATACCACAAAAGGACAAATTAGTTAGAGGTAAATTATTAGAATATGGAGTTAAGGTAGTATTAAATGGATTAGTAACCTTAAGTTTTGAAGAATATTCGGGCAGATTAAATCAGTTTAATGATTTAAGCACATCAAAATCTTATGAATTATGGGATGAAAAATTCGAAAATGTTATGCAAAATGCTGTTAACATTAAAACAATATCATCTTTAATATTAAGAGAATTTACGAATCCATCTGAAGCAAAAGATAACGGAATTGAATCTGTTCAAAAACAGGTATGTGTTTTGATTTTATTCTGGATCTTTCTCTTTTTTTTTTCAATAGAATGTTTATTTACGTACTTATTTTATAGATTATAAAAAGGTTATCAAAACTTCTTGACATGAGCAGAGAATTTTCGATAACAGAGTTTAAACATCATTTTGTATTATATTCAATTTTAACTGGATTAAAGGAATATATTCCAAATGACGAAATTTTGAATTTATTAGACGATGATTCATTTAGTTATGATACAATCTTAAAAAAACTTGTAATATAAATTTGCCACTTTTAAATAAAATTTTTAAATAATGAATAAAAAATGGTTTCTAAAAAAAAAGTATAACAAATATTTTGATTATAACCTCTATTCAAAACCTTTCTATACCATATTATAGTTTCTTTTAACGATTTGCGGTTAAAATAAATTCCGGTTTAATTTGTCATCTGCGTAATCGATGATATTCTTTTTTCATTCGATTAACTATTAGATGGGGAATAATTTCAAACCGGGCAAAAATATTTCTAACTGCCTTTCAATTTCCAAAGATATCAAATATATCATATTTCTAACTTTATATTATGATATATTATCCATCAATACTTCTTTGTTCAAATTAAATTAGAAAGCTTATACAAGACGGATAATTTTGATACGAAAGTAACGGTGAAGAGAAAAGTAAGCAAAGGAGGGAGTACAATTTGTCAATTTTTTTTGAAAATTATGAAAGTACAGACACACCTATAGATAGAAACAAGATTATTTATTAAAAAGAATCAAATTCTCATTTGACATGATAATCCAATAAAAACTGGCTCTCGGTATTTGCACTTCTTTCTGAACTCGAGGTACAAATACATCCATTATAAAACTTATGTAGTAAGCCAAGGATACTCTGACTTAAATTTGAATTAGTTGATAATTCTAAAATATTAATAAGATCACTCGAAAATGTTGAACCTGCGAAGAATTTTTGGGAAACACGAATTGCCAAAGTAATTGCAAGGACAGTCTTTTGTGTCATGTCTACACACTTTGATTTTATAATATCACGCCTCTTTCGCTTATGTCATTAATCAGTCATGATTCAAAAGTGTTTTAACTCGTGAAATTTCACTTATGAAGTAGCCGCAGATAAAGTAGTCGATTTAGATACTATTCTATAGTATATAAAAGACGAGAGAGTTTTGAGTAATATTCGTAACATAAACACACTTAATGACAAGTTTTGAGCATACTAGCTTAGCTATTTTCGGATTCTAATGGAAATCCTTCGGAATTCATATAGTTAATTGTTAATCGGGACTAAATAAACGCGAATTAGATCCGAGTTCAATTCTTGAATGCGAATCGAGATTATTTATTCGTTTTAACAATTAATAAGAAAGCTTTAAACGAAAAAACAAATGAAATTTAAATTTTATACAATGAATGAATACGAATTTTCTCCCGTGGTCTCAGCGAATTTACTTAATGTTTCTTATTTATACATTTTAATTTTGTACACTAAAAAAATGACTCTTTTATACGCTGTGATTTAAACTATTAAATGTAAAACACGTGTACTGTTATATCTCAGTAATCAATATTTGGAGAAAAAGTCCTTCTATCTTCATACGCTTGAATAAATGTTACTGATGGATGATGGATCTAAATCTAAATTAGATTGTTCATAAAATGGATCATTTAACAAAAATAAGTATAAACTATTCTTTAATTAAAGCGTTTTACTGTAAAGGATTCTTTTCTGTCCATAAACAAAGGGCACCTTTTTCTTCCATGTTTATACAACTAATATGACATTAGAATAATATAAGCAAAGAATGTAATAAAATTCATAAAGGCTTTCTAATAACAAGAATATGTCCTTCACAAATTATTGCCCGGCTCGTAATCTATAATGGCCACGATGCGCTTCCGGTTCTCTGCCGCTAGTAACAGTATAACTTCAGGTCTATATAGCCAACAATTTACTAAATATAAAACATATCTTACATACAAAAAAATTTGAATATTTAAAGATTCTCTCCGTTGTTGCTATCTTAACAAAGTCTTTTTGAGACTTGTTACCACCTGATCACTATCGTTGAGGTGTAACAACATCGATCAGTGGGAAAAGGAAAGGGCGAGAAAGAGTAAGAGAAGGGAGGTTGAGAGAAAAGAGTGGAAAGAAATGTAAAGAGAAAAGGATGGGAGAAGGAGATGTGAGGAGAAGGTAGGGCGAGAGAGAGGAAAGTGAGAGGAAAGACGAGAAGGAAGGTGAAAGAGGGAAGGGAGGGGAAGGGCAAACGAGGAAGGGAAGAGGATGAGATAGAAAAAGAATAAAAATTTTCTCATCTACTGATATGAAGTCATACAATTCACATCAAACTTTCTATACTAATATACGCGAAAATAATGGTTTTATTATGTAATATGAAATCTTTTGATAAATGATTTACTTTTTAATTGTATTATTAAAGCCTCTGAAATTCCATAAATCTATCATAGATATGAATTTTGAGAAAGATCTAAAATACCCAAGAGTATATACCGAACTTAATTCCGCCTAGAATTATGGTAATTTTAATCCCTAGTTACTTTTTATTAATTATTTAATTATTAACAGTTTAACACGCGTTATTTAGAATATTATCATCATGTAAATTTTATCTGTTCATACTTCAGTTGTAAAAGTCGCACATAAATTGGATATTCTATTAGTACTATTAGTAAGAATGATTTATTATATCAATGTAGCGACGCAGCAGTATTAAATAACCAGATTTATTTAATTTCAGTCATTAAAAATTGTTATACAACAAAAGAAATCACTGGCAGCTTTTGTCATATTCGAATTTTAACATAAATCAATGTAAATAAATTCATTAAAATTCAAAATTGAGTAAAAACCCTAAGTTTACGCTAACTCCAAGCTGACATTTTTTCCTAAACAAATGTCTCTATCCTAACCCTAATTAAATGTACTATAATAATATAGTATCACATAAATACTCGTCGGAATAATTTTTGAATCAGGCGATATATTTTATGCAGGCTAGACGAAAGTAAGTTTAAATCATAATTATCACATTACTGGTTACAGTAGTCATCCTTCATAATATTAATGTAGGACAAATAAGTCTCAGGCGTGAAGGGATGTTACTAATGGTTTATACAATATCCGATAGTCCGAACTCCGAAATCTAAAATTTTTTTTTTTTTTTCTTTATATATTTTTTTCAATTAAACTTTTCTGCGTATTCTGCTGCGTATAATAATTATAATACTAACGGCAATAAATTAATGGAAAAACTTTTCCGATATTGGGGTTGTACAGTATTACTCAAGGTAACATAAAATTGATCTTCAATACATATATAAGAGATCTTTTTTTCCTGAAATAATAATAATAACAAAAAAATAAATAAATAAAAAACAAAATAATTCTTTCATTCTTTTTGTTATGAGTTTAAAAACTAGTGAAGAATCTATTGATGATATTCAATCATCCGATGATAATTTGAAAAATTTGACGGAAATTTGTGTTAATGAAGAAAAAATATTTAAAAACAATGTAGAAGTAATTAATACATTAAAGGATGTTAACGAAATTGATAAGGATAATTTTTTTGCAAATGATGAAGATACATTAAAGGATGTTAATGAAATTAATAAGGATAATTCATTAGCAAATAATAAAGAAGATACATTAACGGAAAATAAAGAAATTAATAAGGATAATATTTTAACAAATGATGAAGAAGAAGGTACATTAAAGGATGCTAATGAAATTATTGAAGATAATTTATTGTCAAATGATGATAAAAAGGATATATCAAAAGATGCTAATGAAACTGATAAAGGGAATTCATTAGTAAATGTAGATGAAAAAGATACATTAAAGGATACTAACGTGATTGATAAACCGAAGCAAAGAATTTTAGTTTGTGTTGGAGTACCTGGGTCTGGTAAATCAACTTTTTCTAAAAAATTATGTCAAATTGATCATGTAAGTTTCAAATTAGCATATATAATATATATAATTCGACATGAAAAAAAAGTGATATTAAAAAATTATTACCTATAAATTTGTAGATTTGGTTTAGAGTAAATCAAGATGATTTAGGAAGTCGAAAAGCATGTGAAGAGATTTTAAAAGCACAACTTAAAAAGGTGAATTATATAATAATTATAATAATATTATTACACCATATTTACCATATTTCATTTTTCTTACTTATTCTTTTAATATTACAGGGAAAAAATGTAATAGTAGATAGATGTAACTTTGACAAAGATCAACGTAAGACATGGATAAATATAGCGTATCATCATAAATTGTCAATAGATGCGATAATTTTGGATACACCATTTGAAATTTGTGAAAAACGTATATTAAACAGAGAAGAACATCCTACTCAAGTACATGGTAGTAAAGGTTTAAATATTTTAGAAACCTTTAAACAAATGTATAAGTTACCTAACTATAATGAAGGTTTTGAAAGAATTTTAAATGTTAAACCACAAGAAATTAATGATTGTAATGAAGATGATATTAAAAATGTTATGAGAAAACTTGATGAGATTCCTAAAAGTGTTTTTAGGCAAGGTGAAAGAGAAAGAGGAGAACGTGGAAAAAGAAGACCATATAGGGGAAGAGGAGGGGAAAGTTATGGAAGAGCAAGTGGTGAAAACTATCAAGGAAGAAATTTTGGTGGTAGTGGTGATGGTAATAGTGGTAGTGGTTATAGAGGAAATGCTTGGGTAAATAGAGGAAGAGGGGGAAATCGTGGAAGTGGACGTGGCGGAAACTACCAAAGAGGAAATCATGGTGATATCGATGATAGAGGAGATACTTGGGGAAATAGAGGAAGAGGGGGAAATCGTGGAAGTGGACGCGGCGGAAACTATCAAAGAGGAAATCATGGTGATAACGATGATAGAGGAGATACTTGGGGAAATAGAGGAAAAGATAATAATAATAATTCAAAAAATGTTCCAAATCCTCATTATAATTCAAATTTTCCTCCACTTGGCAAAAAATAATACATTAATAACTATATAAAAAAGTAATTTTTTTACAATAGTTTGAATTCTATTTATCTATATTATCATAACTATTTATATATATTTTATTATCACATATTGATATTTGGATATATGCCGGAAACTGTATTAGTTAAAAATAAAACATTTCACGAACAGAATTATACTGTAACAAATCATTGAATTTCTTTGAATAATGATAATAAATTTTAGTTTTATTTTGGCCGGAGCGAAGCGAAGGACAATATTTTTTACGCACCATGAAAAACTGTGGTTTCTCGATCGTTAGCCAATAAAATCGCAAATTTTAGTTTTGTCTTTTTTTTTGCTCCGGATTCACAACGGGTTCCGCTTCCTAGTTTATTACACGCAAAAGAAACTTCAATCGCACCAACATAATCATGAAATATCATGAAATATCATGAAGTATTCATTATTTAATCCCTTACCCTAATTTTCCTTAATCCCTTTCTTTCTTCTCTTCCCTTATTATTGGTTGTAGTACGGCATGGTGCGATGCGTAATTTTATGGGTGACACTTTTTGGGAGGCCTTTTTTGAAAGGATCATAGTATTACATCAACACTTTAGTTTAAACTATAATTACCTTAATATACAGTATATATTATAATAGGCAATTAAGCCCTGTGCGCACTGTAGCATATGTATTATGTTGTAGTAATGACTTATTTATTTGTAGTCATATACTCATTTAATAAATTTTCCCGAATAGTAATTTCATCCATACCTTTTTTTTTAAGAAATAAATAAGTGATCAGGATTTATATTTGCTCAGAAATATTTCCATATTCCCACAACCTCTATTCTAAGAGAGCGGCTTTTTTCAGATACTAGAAATCATACTTCTGTTCATCGAGCAAGTCTTGATCCCAATCTTCTTCGCAGTATTTTTTTTTTTTTTTGAAGAGAAATATGAAAATAATAGATATATTTCCATCTGATAAATAATTCTTTATGATAATTAATAATAACTTTGAAAAAAAAAAAATTTTCTCTCTTTCTTCCGATATTAATACATTAACATTGAACATTGAAATTTATTATAATATTACATATCTCATATTCAAATAGGATCATGCTTTTTCATCGTGCTGATATTTTTTTATTATGCTATACAATTGCATAATTATTATATAAAATAATCTGTAAATGGTAAAAGGACGCGTCACGTTAAACCGGAAATGGTTTAATCATCATCCGAACTGCTTTGCAGTTCGGTGATATTCCAATTCCAATAATACTTTTTAACATTTTTTTATATTTAGCAAATTAAAAAATTTTTAAATTTAACCGGTTAAGAATTAAGATGTCGGATTATTTATTAATCAGTTCAATCGAGTAATCTAAACCGCGATTGAATATACTACGAAATCCCGCCGACAAACTCGACGCTCTTACAATCCTGACAAATCATAATCCCGAAAAATTCAAAATTCCCAAAAATCACATTATTTCCGACATTTCGACATTTACATTCATTATCCTTTTTAATATTAAGTGCAGATTTTTGAAAATATAATTCTTAACTGTTTAAGTATAATAAAAAACAATATTTGCAAAGGGTTTTTAAAAATCATTACATATTAATAAAAATATTAATTTTTGCAATGTATTATTATATTAATAATAAAAATAATAATTTTTTAAAAGATTTTACACGTTATTTACTTTAATTTTTGCAATGTATTATTTAAAAATTAAGGACTCCCGTAGCAAAAGGGGAATGGGACGATTGGGACGATCATGTAAAAAGTCATGTGATTAACTTTGCAGATCATTACTTATTATAAAAAAACTGAATTGACGTTTTTTTTTTAAAATAAAAAAGGTAAGAAATTCATTAGTAGTAGTTTCTTTCCAACATATTTATATCACTTATTAAATGCTTATTAAATGCTATAAAATAAAAAGACAAATAATAAAAATTGTTAAAAATCTTAATTCAACTATTAATACATTATATACAAAAAAAAATGTATTTTTTTAAAAGATTAGGAGAAGAGAATAGATTTTGTATAATCGCAAAATCACAAAAATCTAATTTTTTGGCCCATCCCCCACTTTTTGCTACTGGTGTCCTCAAATATTAATAAAAAGCATTTAATTTACTTAATTTTTAAAATAGCATTTATTTTACGAAATATTATTAAAATTATTATTAAATAATATCATAACAAATATTAATTTTTTAAAAACCATTACGGTACATATTAACAATTATAACAAAGTATTACAATATTCAGCACTTCGTGCCGAATAATTGTTATAATTTATATTGGATAAATCAAATTGCAAAGGCCGAGATCAAATGATCACAATATAACAAGCTACCTTTAGGTAGCGTTAGTTGCTACCATCGCGATTAATATAATCAAATTAAATAATCGATTTAATTGATTATTTGTCCAATTCAGACTTCTAGAGACGGGCATTCAATTCAGCTATAATATGTTTTTAAAAGTCTGCCTGTTGTTTAAAGTTTACTAACATATTTCTGAACGAAAAATAAATGTTGGTTTGCAAGTTCAAAAGAAAACTTGATTGTAAATGCACCTCAAAGAAAGAATATACTAAAGATAGTAGTATAATACAACGAACGATTTATTTTTACAACTCCCAAAACTTTTAAGAATTTCATAAAAATTGGTTTTGGGAAAGTCTCTTTTATTTTTGTTATAAACTGGAAAATACAAAGGTAATTACAATGGTTCTATGGGAAATTACGAAATTTAAAGGTAAAGTAGTAAAATAAAAAAATATTAAGATATTTGGGATTATTGTTGCTACAAAACTCAATTTTATCTTATTACTTGAAAAAGAATGTTGATTACCACACAAACAAGTACTTATATGTTTAGACAAATAAAATTATTCACTTATTTTCAAATATGTAAATAATTGAACGTTAAAAGAGTATTTAAAGAATAATGCTGCAACGTTTAAATAAAAAAAAAATCAAATAAAATTTAATAATTTTCCTTTATGCTTACTGTACTGCATGAGACTACCACCTACGAGGGCAATCATTCTGCGGCTCGAATTTTTTCTTGTTCCTGTCTTTCACGAGCAACACTTATCTGAAGAAGCTCATTTTTTTTTGAAAAAAAGTCGAAAATTCTTAAGAATTAATAGGAAGTGGATATGAATGAATGCTGAAATTTTTTAAATGTTCCATTTCGTGTGAATCGTTATATTTTTATAAATTTTGTTAATACAAAGTGATATTTTTTTTTTTGAAAAAAAAAAATAAAATAAAATAAAGAATAGAACAAACTATCTCGGAATTTTATTTTATTCATACGGAATATGATGATTTGTCAAGATTATTACTAAATTTGCATTTTATATAAATATCATATGATCAACTTTTTAATACACACGTTTATATCATTATATTATTTCATATCGATTTTCTTTGAATTTACTTCTTATAATCAAAGGTTGAACTTCAAATTTATTGTTAAATCAACAGTCAAAGAAAATAATATTTTAAATCCTTTATACTGTAATGTATTAAAAATTAAAATACCGTAAATACCGTAAACAAATCACGTGTTTTTAATAAGAATTGGATAAGTTTTTATAAAATTTTATTATAAAAATTTTGTAGCCATAATGAAAAAAAAAAATAAATATGTTGTACCTCAGGTGATAAGATTGATATCAACTGTTTTTTTAAGAAGTATGAATCTTAGATTCTAGGATTTATATATTTATCAAATGTAGTGAATGAATTTATCTAGTCAATAACGCCAACAACACTTTGTTGTATATGTTGTATATTGAAATTTGATTTGTACATATTTTATGATTGTATTATTTATTATTATGGCGAAATTATTTAAAATTAATATCCGAGATATCTGACGCGTTTCAGTTATCATCTTACATCTGAGAGCATCAATCAATGAAAAATTTAATTAGTTCATTTTCTCTAGATTTATTTCCTTCTTTTGGGTGAATAATGATTATGATTATTATGGCAAAATCTGACCGCAGCTTTCCATAATATATTATTTTATTCGTTTCAACACTTTTTCATTCATGTATCGTATCTGTAAATCAGTGAAAAGTGTACAACATTTTTAATTTAATTTTTGATCATGACATATTTCCTTTTTTGGGTGAAAAATGAATATTTAATGCGCTCTGCGACCAGATTTTGCAGCTGATTATAATGCATCAACAATCAGATAATCAGATCGGAAAAATTTTAATTAATTTTGATATAATAAATCCAAATTACTTTTTTTTGTTTTACTGTATCACTTTGTTTTTAATATAAATAAATAAAAAGGATGTTTTAACCGAAAATGTTAATAATTTACTTTTTTCCTTTAAGCATAATATAGAAGAGAAGGATCTGTTTTGTTGTTTTTGTTCTAAAAAAAAAAAAATTAATTAATTTTTTTTATTGAAAATGTTCTTAATATAATATTAATATAAATATTATTATAATATTGTTATAATATTGTTATAATGTTATAATATTGTTACAATATTATTATAATATTGTTATAATGTTATAATATTGTTACAATATTGTTATAATATCGTTATAATATTGTTATAATACTGTTATAATATTATTTATAATATTGTTTAATATTGTTTAATATTGCCCTTTTTTTAAACTCTAATTTTTTTTTTAAATTGATAATCACAATAAATACGTGCTAACGTACATATACTATTTTTTAATTTACTTAAAGGGGATATTCACTTTAATAGCATTTATAGTAAAACATTTTTTTTTTATATTTAGGTTATAAAAACTATTTAAAATAGGTTATAAAAAAAATATATATATTTATTTCTTTAAACTTGATAATCTTATTATATATTCGGCGAAAACATTCCTTGTCAAAAAAAAATGATAGACCGTTCTGTCCTGTAAGATGAATGGCTTCTGCTTCGGAAAAATCTCTTATCGTGACCATATCAATCTCGGAAAAAATACTTGAACAAACATATAAACAAATAAATCATAAATTACTTATTTAGAATAACTTATTTTACGTATGAACGTATGAAATAATTTTACTAATCTTATTCGTTTTCAATATTAACTTATAATAATAAAATGATAATAAAGATTACTTTGTTAATTTACAATAATAATAATAAAAAAAAGATTAGATTGTTAACTTGATATTTATAAAACTTAAAATATGTTATTATTTATAAAACTTAAAATATGTTATTATTTATAAAACTTAAAATATGTTATTATCTATAAAACTTAAAATATGTTATTATCTAAAAATATGTTATTGTCAATAAAACTTAATACTTTAAAACTTAAAATATGTTATATATTTATATTATTTTTTAATAATAACTTGAAATACTTCATAATCATCTACCATAAAAATTGATGGTAAATTAATCTTTGAATAAGAAGAAGAAGCTGATATACTACTTATCCAAGTACCATCAGAATTACAACCTAAATCAATACCAATACCAAAAAATGGACCATAACCTAAACCACAATGTATAGAATATTGATCACCTTTACTATAACCTACTTTTGAAGAATTAAGATTCATTCTATTCTTAAAAGAAAATAAAAAACTATCTCTTGTTGATTTCCATAAACCACTAGTATTCCATTCTAATGGATTATAACCTCCAACTATTTCTTCAGAATGTTTAATCTTTGCAATAACTATAGTAGGACCTTTATTATCACATGCTTCATGAAATGCTGAAATTAATTCACCATTTCTACTAGAACGATAAAGTAATTTAAAATCATAAGGAATATTTGTTAAATTATAATAAAAAGATTCTTTTTTATCAATCCAACTAGAAAAAATAGCAAAATGTTGAGATTTAATTATAGTTGAAGTACATCTAGGAAGTTGTTTAATAAATGGTTTTTTATCTAATTTTTGATAATCAAAAATATTATTAATTAAATCATTTGGTAATAAATCTTTATAAGGATATACTTTTGAACGAAAATCTTCAGGAGATATATAATGAAATCTAATTAAAGGAATAAATCTATATAATCTTCTTTCCATTACAATAAAATCATTTTTTCCCCAAGTTTTAATATCTTGTTGAATAATAGGATTTTGACCACATGCCCATTTTAATAAATTATCCCAAAGAATGATTTCATTACTAACATTAAGATCATCTCGTTTTAGAAATGATTCTAAAATAGTAGGATTAAAGGTAAGAAATTTAGAACTTCCAAATAAATAATCTGGATGATCACAAATATGTCGAAGACATAAATCCCATAATTGATTAAAAGAATTTTTTTGATAAATTGATTCAATAACTTCAATAATATTATTAAGAATAAATTTACGATGTTTTTTAATTAAAATTTCTTGAATGTAATCACTCAAAGGGTTAAGACCAAATTCATCTGATGGTATTAAGAGGGCTAATATTTCATTAGGTTTTAATTTTAATAAATCAACACATCCAAAATACATATATCTAAGAAAAATAAATTAATTAATTAATTTAATTAATTAATTATAAAAAAAATATAAAAGATAATTTCAAAATACTCAAAAATACCTTAAAAGAACTTCAAAAGTTTTTGGAGAATTATTTAATTTTATAATAAAATAACCATCCTTCTTTTGAATGCCTTTTTCAAAAGAAATTTTAAAGAATTCAGACTGAGTTTTTAATATTAAAGAATGAGCATGAAATTCTTTCACATTTGGGTTTTCACCGGTATAAATTTTTACATCATAATCTATTCCAGTTTCATAAAGTTTTTTATAATGAGCAACTATTTCTTCACAAAATTTTTTAACCATAATGAAAAAAAGAAAATTAAAATTCTGTAATGAATTTTTTTTTTTAACGACTTAACAAAAAAAGATGACATTTATAATTTATTATATTAAAGGATTTTCTTATCATGAATTTATATCACATATATTATAATAATAGTTTTCATATGTTAATATGTGGGATATTTAGGTTAGTATCATGCTTATCGGTATTTTATCGTCAAAAATGACCATCAATAAATAGGATGAATTAAAAATTCAATAGATTAAAAGAGTGATTCGACTGAATGGTCGACTTGAATTTTTAATTCAATATGAAAAATTCGGGAGCCAAGTCTATAATATGTCTAAATACAACGTAAAAGTTCTAACTTCTATTTTAGCTGAAAAGAAAGAAAAAAAAATACGTAAAGATCGATTAGATCAAAACAAAATTTATGATTAAAATAAGATAAAATAACCATTTTGAATCTATCACCTAAAGATTTTTTTTTTTAGTATAACCAAAAAAAAAAAAA